TCCATAATTTGCGAAGTTGAGAATCAAACAAGACCAGGAACAAACAAGTGGGTCATTTATTTCCTCATAAATTATAAAAATTTCAGACATTGGTATAAAATATTTCTGAAGTTATGGTTGCTATGATAGCCACAATGACCCTTTAGCGGGATAGTGTTATGTTTGCGAAGTTTAAAATTAGTTTTCTTTTGACTAAATGATCAAAATTCCATTACAAGGTTGCTTAATTCTACAATGGGCAGTTAAAATAGTAACTGCTGTTTATGTCGTATTCTCATAAATGTGAAATCATTGTAAATATTGTATTATTCAGAAAACATGAACGCCTCATATTACATGAGACAAGACATGACACGAAAAGCTTATCTGACCAAATCTGGGGTCTATGTGGAATCTCCCCTACCTAGAAGTCAATTTTTTCTCATAAAATTAAGTTTTCAAGGTCGAGAAGCTCTTTTCAAAACCGCATTTTTATAAGTAATTTTACACGTATATTCCAATTATGACATCGGTTTGAGTGAATTTTGGATATTTAATGACGTTAATCAAGATTATTTCTATACTTGCATCTAGTTTATTCGTAACCCACAATGATTATGTAACCAATTTGCCACTCTTTGATCGGAGTTAGAATGAAATGGATTTAAATCTCCATAACTGTCTGGCTTGATTTAGTATATTATCGTGTGCACAAACCAGAACAGCCAAAGTCATAAGTGTCACCTCCAACTTTCAACTATTAATTAAAACATCGGCCTTCAACTAGAATTGCAGAGAACTTTTTAAACTTTTACGTTACAGATTTGATTGTCGCAAAAATTGCCAAAAGTAAATTAGAAAAATGTGTATTCACCTGGTATCTGATATGCAATAAATAATGTGAGAATCTATGAAATGTCAATCAAAAATGGTATCATCATAAAGCAAACGACTTGATTTGCGATAGATTTATTTCCACAAAGCTTTTTCCTTATTTTGCCAACATTTTGCGAACAAAATGGTATGAGAGACATTGCAGAAAAGTCTGTTGGTGGGGTGACGGCACATTCCTTGTCTCAAAGATCAAAAAACTGTGTTGATATCTTTACATTCTATCGGTAAATTAGTAACTTACAATTTAATGCATACTATCCCTAGTTATGATTGATGATTTTTTAAAGATAACAATATGGTGCTGAATCGACATGAGAAACCACGTTGTTCTCGTTTTTTAATCACTTTAAACATACTCTCTTAATACGGGTTAATTAGGCATAGCATTAGAGAACGATATGCTTATCACCGAATGCCTGATAAGGCTGGGAAACGACCCAGTTGCCACGTAATTATTACTCATTTGTGAGCATTTGACATTAAGGAAGACAGACTTACATGTAGCATTTACCTATCTTACCTAACTAGCTATTTACACTATCTATAATATACTTATTTTAAATGTGAACATACCTTTCAATAATGACGGAACGGTCAGTTTTGGTTTGATGAATTCGAGATCTTCTGGTAGCAGACTAGATAGTTCACACGAAAAAGACCCATTTTCAAATTCGTCTTCCGTTTCATCTATTTTTATAGGAGTACTAGTCTTGTGTTTGGGGAGCAGAACGCTTACTCTTGGGGGTGTCGTTTCTATTAAGTCATAATACTGCTCTGAACACTTTCTCATACTATTTACACTCGTCTTCAATGGGGTGGTGTAGCATACAGGGGACTGTGTTTTTTCGGGGGTTGTACTTGTTCCAGGAAAATCAAAAACACTTTGCACCTGTTTATCTGACTCTATCAATAAGTCGAAACTTGAGTTTGCAGCTAAAAGCGAAGATCCAAGTGGGTCGACAGGACTCATTTCCGATTGCATGAATTCGTACATCGGGGATTTGGCGAATGTTCTGGGGGATGTACTAGTTCCATAGAAATCAGAAACATGTTGATTCGAAATCGGTTGTTCATCTGACTCTATCAAGTCCCGGTCTGAAAGAGAAGTTCCAAGTGGGTCGGATGGAGCCAACATAAGCTCAGAATCATCATTTATAATGCATGATATACCAAGTGGGTCGCTTGCAGAATCTTGGGTACCATCTAACAACGAAACACCGAGTGGGTCAACGGAGGAGTCAGATTTGAATGAATTGTCTAAATGCGACATGTGGCCTCTATGGTAAACAATGTTGTTGTATATAGCTTGGTTTATTTTTGGATCCGTTGTTGCTGCAATGTTCTCTATTCTGAAGTAAAAACAAAAACGTTAAACAATAAAACCAGTAATACATTAAAGGTAGAATCAGATCTATATCTTTATATCTTATCTGTGACAAAGTTGCAAGCAACATGTACGATTGACCTACCAATCTATTCCTTACACTATTAATTAAAATATCTCCCAAAAGATTCAATATATCAATTGGTGAAGTTATTATGAATTCAAAGTGATAAAATTGGTGAACATGTTTAAATTCTCTCAAATAATGAGAATGGCTACTATAAATATAGAAAAATAATACATTATTGTAAAAATCTTTCCTTAAATAAAGTGTGAACTTTAGGGAATTTGGGAAATTTGAATATTCTAAAAATTGAAACAATTTTTGTTGACCTCTCTATATTTGTTCTCTCTTTAATTTAGATTATTTGTACAGATCATTTTGATTTTGATCATCGTAGATCTGATCGCAAATAGTAATTCCAAAATGTATGTTAACGTTTTCTTACCATTTCTAGTTCTGCTTGTTCGGTTTCGAGACGACATTTTTTCCAGAAGAAGTCAAGGACAGTCCAGTTGGTTAAATTAGAGAAATATATGGGTGTAGTTAGTAAGTTAGCGGTAAATCATCGGCACTCGCTACTTTATTCTGCATTTTTATGTTTTGATTACAATATGCGCATGCGCCAGCAAAATAGAACTTCAAAATAACAAAATAAGATGCATGTACACGGAAAAGCTTAGCTTCAAAACTGTGCTAGTCTTGTAGCATATGAATGAAATACATTTAAAATCTCAGACTTCTGCTTGGCCATAAATAACGTTTCAGTGACACAAGAGATTAGTACTAATGTTATAGCTTGTTTTGAATTGAAATTCTGTATGCCTGTTGATATGCTTAAGTGCACACCAGATAGATACAAGTAACTTGAACTTGAGAGTAATCTTGGATTTCCAAGGTATGATTTTTTCATGATTAAAATTACACTAGGACACGAGTATGCTTGAGAGCAATATTTGAGAATATAACATTAAACTTGTATTTCAATCCATTGAATTTTAGATTCTTTATTCGATTCTTTTTTCAATTTATATATTCCAATTTTTAAACTTAATCTCAAGTGAAGTCCTCTATCTGATTGGCGTAGCCATGGGGTCGCACCACTCCCCCCTCCCCAAACCAAAAGAAAAAAGCAATTTTTGTAAAGTTTATTGAAAAACATTAACAAATGAAAGTTGCTTGGAATGCACCATAAGCAATGTTGATTTTAGAAAATTACCGGGGGACCGGTGATTCTGCATCTCTTTTTGGGGCTCACTTCGCTCGCGGTGATGCAAACCCCCAAAATCGCACCCTCCTTGACAACTGCTGGCTACGCCTCTGTAGCCCATGCTCAAAGCAATCGTATTGCCATTTTGCCAAGATTTCTAGCCATCATTCTCATGTTCTCATTCTCATTGTAAATAGGTATGTATGGTTGGTTATGGTAATTGGTTAGCCAATGGTCATAGTCTGTCTCAAAAATATAAGTGATTCCAATGTAGATATTTATGTGAAGTACACAGTCATTGAATCAGATTGCAACCTTCTAGAGGGAAACAGTGAGTTCAGCAAAGACTACACATCCTTGCTGCAAGGGTATTTTACGAATTTAGGCATAAATGAAGTCCTTTGAAGAAGGATGAGACTACACAGAGACGAACCCATAACTAACATCTATGTCAACCTCCTGTCAACCCAAACACTGACGAGAAATACAGACGCTTTTCACATCGGAGGAGATTTTGCATTTATATGAAGCACTAAGCTAGTAATTTGATTACAAGGAGAAATCAACAATTATTAGAATTATCATTACTTAGTACTTAGTATAAAATGCCTATTCAGTGGTGGATAACTTCTGTTGGGCCAGATTATTTTCTAAATAAATCAGAAGGTGACCGTCCCCAAAAAATAATCAGAATGTGCAGTCTCGATCAACAAAAAACAGCAGGATTTATCAAGGTTAGTACAAATAAGAGAATACACTATGCGTAGTTCACATACGGACGCTTTGTTCTTGTGTTCATTGTCAAAGAGGTTTATTCTTTCAAAGTTAGCATCAAGATAATTCATTCGAGCAAATATTTTAAGCACTTTAGATTGCTCATTAAAATAGATTGTAATGTATTTATTTGCTTTGTTTTATTAATTGAATAAATAAGCGAACTCGATTAACCCACTAATACCCCAGTCACATTTGTCGTACGGAGGGCGTGCGTCGACCGCAGATCAATTAAATTAGTGTATTTCTGCGGCGAGCGTACGACAACTACGCTCGCCTTGCGGCCTCCGTACGGCGTATCCAGTTTTTTACCGGCCGCAGGGTCGCCGTAGAAATTATAGCTCGGAGTTATAATATTTGTTCATTTCTGAGGTCCCCGTAGAAATCAACTGGCTCAACAAGATTGAATCATTATTTGTCAATGTTTCACGATCACTTTTAATTTGATATTACATCCTAGCACTATGAATAACATTTATAAATTGTCCTGATGTAAATAAAATGAAAAAAGTATTATTTATCAACAGAAATCTAAAATTCACCGTACGGCTGCCGTGGGAAATGTGACTGCAAAAGTATGAGAGCGCAGAAATTCTACGGCGAGCGTAGAAAAGCTACCGGCCGCAGAAATAATAGACCGCACGGCGGCCGTGGGAAATGTGACTGGGGTGTAAATGTTTACATGTGTACTTCTCTATTGATTTACAGTTTAGTGTAAGAGATGTAAATGCCGAAATGGATGAACTCAATATCACATTGCCATTCGACAGACTGTTGAGGTATAACGCTATCAGTAGGGCATTAAGAGATGCAGGTCCATCCAGATCAAATATACATAAGAAATGGCTGGAGCTCACAAAGGAAGGTAAACAATTTAATTTTCAAATAGTTTTTATTATTGTTTCCTTGACGAGTCGAGAATTTATCCCCCAATATTGAGATCAATGGTCCTGTTGATAAAATTACTTTACGCCTCTGCTCTAAAGAATTACCTCCTAAGGTCAATGACCCAGGCAATTGTACATGATAACATTGTTTTATTAATAACAAAACCAGTTTACTGTTTACATCATGCAACATTTGATTTAACCATCCGATTTCCATCAAGTTTTTCTGCGTTGGATACTTCGGAATACAAATAACTAAAAAGATAAAAAAAGAATACATAATATTCTATATGGTTAAATAATTGATTAGTGTATGTACCACATTTTCAACGGTAGGCCGTAAATCTTGGAAATATTGTATGACCGGTAAATCTATATTACATGAGTAGGCCACTTGAATCTATTTCGGGGTGTAGATTATTCAATGATTTAAATGAATAATAAGTCATAATGATACAGCTTATATGTGAATATATACAAAGCTCGGTACTTTTCATCAGTTTGACATTTTTCCAGTTGCATCCTCATGGATAACAATATCAGATCTGGTTTATTTTGATTTTTAATTTTATATTTTCTTGGTTCATTGGTATTGATTTATATTACCACTCAGCGCTGCAAGCGACCTCAGCCATTTTTGATATTTTACTGCATCGAGATCAGGCTGTATGCCTATAGCTTGCAGTAAGGCTGCATGTGTAACTGGTATACTCACTGGGGTGTCCATGCAGAATATAAATAAGCATAACATCTAACTATACCTCCCCCCAAAAAAGTCCTCCTTTTACTTGCTTTTAAGTCAAGTTTGATCAAAATGTATTGCTTTGTTGACTGGTCTAATGTCGAGATTACAAATATTTTGCAAGGGTTTCTGTACTCATTCATATGGATGGCATGATTCGGAACTTGTTTCTTGATTATCTAATTATTATGCTAACTACATGTAGGTAACGAAGCAAAGTTTTCTAAGATAAATTGAACTGATCAAAAAAAAACTTAGGTCTGTCACCAACAAACTTTAAATTGACCTAATCTTTTTTTATAATTTTTTTTATTTCAAAGAATAAGCATGTTAAAGCAATTGCAAGAAAACAATTACAATACAGCAGGCCCGTAGCCAGGGGGGGGGGGGGGTTCGCAGGGTTCGGGCGAACCCCCCCCCCCCCCCTGGCCAAAAATTCTTTCAAAATGATGCAGTTTTTCACCATTTTGAGCACTTTCAAGTGATTTTAGCCATATTTGGGCCAAAATTGTCAAATGTGAACTCCCCCTGGAAATTTTTGAAAATTGAACCCCCCCCCCCCCTTGGCAAATCCTGGCTACGGGCCTGATACAGTTACATGGTAAACATACATTTTAAGATTTTACAATACAAAATTGGTTAAACGTTATTCTTAGAGAAATGTTATAACATTGGCAATCTTTTTTATTCAAAGGAAAAATCATCATTAACCTAATCTTGGCCCCTCTGTTATTTTGTCTGAAATTATCTCATGTAATTGAATTTGAAGACTTTTATGATAGAGTCATAGATTTACATGTTTAACCCCATGGCCATGTATATTTGAACTCTTCCAAGTCCAAAACGAAAGAAAAACTAATAATGTAAACCGGTATGTACCTCGATTCTCTTCCCTATATTTCAAGAAAATCTTATTACAATTGGTTAAAAATTGATGTCAAAGTTGAGGAATTTAAAAAATAGTTTGAAAATCCTAACTTTGTACAACTTTGACAAGTTCAGTTGTCAATTTAAATTTCATTTTTGAGTGCAATCGGATATATGGATATTTTCTCATATGACCCAGCCATTTCCCATTCGTAAACATATGTTCCAGCATTTTTCAAATTCCTCAAATTTTACAACAGTTTTTGACCTATTGTAATAAAGAGATTATATTGAACAATTCCTGAACTTTAGGGAATATAGTCACGGTACATATCCATTTACATTATCAGTTGTCTTTCATTTCTGGCTTAGAAACATACATGGGGTTAACATGTAAACCTATGAGGAAGAAGACCGGTCCTTAACTTTTTTAGGAGTATATGTCGTCAACTTTTAGACAGTATTTCCCATGTGTCAGGATCATTCCAAATCCAATAAATTTATCACGAAAGAAGAGAGTAAAATAAGGAAACTGATCACAGTAGTAACATGATAACAATGTTATGAAATATAGATTCTGTGTGACATCTAAATTAATTTGAGTAATTTATGAGAATTGATATGATTTGTACAAATCTATTGGTGTTAAAAATGTGCATGGATTCCAAATGAAACCTGTCTAAATGAAATTTAATATAATTGTATGTACATTTCAAGGTTTATAAGTAACCAAATGAGAGAAAGTGCAAAAGGCCAAATCATGAAGAAAAAAAAATTAAATAGTCCTCCAGATAACTGCAAAGTTCTGATCAGCTCTGGGAAACTCGTTAGAGTTTAAGTTGACAGATTATTTAGATAAGATGTAAGTTTTGGATTTGTCTTCTTGGTTTTAGTCTAGAGTGAACTCACTGTCCTCCTCTCATAGACAGATTGCAGTCTGTTTCAATGTATTTTTAAAGGCAAATATCTAGTGTTCTTTGAAGTATTCAAGACTAAATAAGATGTTACTAGTATACAATACATGTACTATACTACCCAGAGACAGATATAATGTTTACTCCAGTTTCAAGTTGAATATTCTAAAATGGAAAATGGAGTGCCAAATTTCATTTGGTATAATTATATTTTTTGATAGAGACAATGGCCATTGTTAAAATCAAATAAATTTATTAGGGTAGTTTATACTTCATGCCTAGTTCACACTTCAAAACTAAGTTGAATTCAGATGTCCTCTTGAAAATAGAATGAGCCTAAATGGATTACTGTCTCAAAGGGTATCTAAGTCTAGAGATGAGTTGTAAGTAATTCACGACTTTGAAAATGTTTTGACAACTTTTGCGCATGGGACTTCATATTTATCCCTAAAAAATGGTTGTGATTTTATTTCATAATGATGCAAGATACACATACTTTTAATTTTAAAAGACCATTCGCAAGTCTTGTTAGTGCAAAATTAATGAATATAATTTCATGTATATATTTTTCATTGATGCACTTGATTTCTAAAGTTCACAATGTGTGAACAATTTCTGCATCTTAAACTTTAATAAAATAAATTCCATAATGATCAAATTATGATACCTTTATTACTTATTGTAAGATGAGGTGATTTGAGTTTGGGCAGGGTGGGGAAGTATTTTTGCATGAATTTAAAAAATGAACGACCCCCTCCCAGTCACAATCCTGGCTATTGTAAGCCACATAATATGATGATAATATAATAAATGAATATCAGTCAGTCAACCTAGTTATCTATCTAGATCACAATGTGATATTGTGCAGATAGAACATTGTTTTATTTTATTGCCTAATATATAGGAATTTGTAGGATATGAAGTTTAAAAATGGAAATGGCTACAGGGGCGTAGCCAGCTTTCAGTCAGGGCAAGGGGGGGGGGGGGGGTGCGATCGCCAAAAAAAACATTTTCAGTCAGGGGATGCGATTGTGGCATAAGAAGCCAACAATTAAGATTTATATTTTGAATTTTACAAACAAAAAATTATGCAACTTCCTTCATAATAAATTGAGCTAGAAGGTTCAAATAAAAAGCATTTAATTCAAAGCTCTTTTCTTCTCATGGTTATATTTTATTGGTTATGGGGGGGGGGGGTGTGCGATCACCAATTCACATTCAAATAGATACAGATATTATATCTACTAGTGTACTCAAATGAACAGAGATATAGAATTTCAAACTGAAACATTAAGATAATCTGTTCTGTCATTGAAACAATATTTATGGCCAGCTTTTCTGAGAATTTAATGTGTTTCATTCGTTTACTCCTGGACTATAAAGGTAGAATCAGATCTATGGGGTTTACTAGCAATGTGTACAATTTACCTACCAATATATTCCTTACAATCTCAATTACAATATCTCCCGAAAGGTTCACAATATGTTATAAATTGGGGAAGTTATTATGGATTCAAAGTGCAAAAATGGGTGAAAATGTTTAAATTCTCCCAAAGAATAAGAATGGTAACCATTCTTACAGAAAAATAATGTTATCGTATGTTTTCCTGAAATAAAGTGTGCACTTTGGGGATTTTTAGATAATAGACATGACAAGGAATGACATGACACTAACTAAACAACATTTTGAGAATTTGATTTGAAAGGACCGCGAGTTGTTTGTAGAATGCATCTGGGGAGCTTTGTCGTGCATTTCGCTTGTGTTTTTCATTTATTGACTATACGATTGCACCATATAATCTAACAATTATTTCTCATTTCGAAGGTTAATCTATAGATTAACACCCAGGTTTTGTTATTTTTCAATCTTGAGAGGGCTGGGAATCATTATTACGATTGCTTTTGAATTATATTAATGATGTTTTAAATAGGTTTTATGTATGCCAATAATTTCTCAAATTATGTAAATGGTACCCCTTCCTCGATCCCAACAATTTTCTTTTTGAGGAATATAGTATGGTAATCCAATGGTATATTTCCAAGCAGATTTTGAGATTACATGAAAGTTAATCATTAATACACACCTCATTGGCTTAAGGTGGCTCAAGGTAGCTAATGTTTTGCAATTTGATTTGGTAAATACGAAGGTACTACAACCATGCAAAATTTCTGCTACAAACATTGAATTATATATAGTATCACCGAAGAATGCGTTTTGCATTACAGTGTTTACTCAGGGTTGAACACAACATGCCTTGCATGATTTTGGCTGATAAGAAAGCCATATATGTGTCCTGCACATTCTCCCCCCAGGTCGAATGTTGATCGATTTTTTAACCGGACATTTTTAAACTACCATATTTGTCTGTTCTGAGGTTAGGTTAAATCAGGTTTGCTAAAGAATTGTGTCCACACTGCCTTTTCTCTACTTAGCAATTTCCTAACTAAGCAATTAATTGGTGTTGGTACTCAGGCCCGTAGCCAGAATTTTCAAAGGGGGGTTCACTTTTCCAAAAATTTCTAGGGGGGTTCACTTTGGCAAATTAACTAGGCCAAAAATCACTCATAAAATTGTCAGAATGGTGAAAAACTGCATGAATTTGAAAGAAATTTTGGCTACGGGCCTGGTATTGGACATTGAATGTTCATATTCTCCGCCCAGATCAATGACTATCACGTTTTATAATCATGGTTTTATCAATCGAATATCATATCATTTAAGAATTTCCCGATGTAGAAATGTTATAAAAGTAGAGCACAAAACAGGTACGCCATATGCCAGTATAATCAGGACGTCTGTTAAGATTTAGGTCCTCGTTTATTATCATGAAATAATTTGTACAGTTTATATGTTTTTTTGCTATGATATCAAATAAATCATTAAATTGAATTTTGTTACATATCTTCTTTGATTATTCAATCTACATCGCTTAGAGCGCTCCCAAACTGAACAAATATACATCCGTAAAATGCACGTTCAACTATGACAAAGAGAACAAAACAAAATGACAATAATTTTTATTAATATTCATGATGTTTTTATAAAAAGATTTGATCGAAATAATTTTGAACTAATCGGTTGCATTAATGTTTACTTAACGGTAATTGTTAATTTTAGATGAATCTGAGGAGGTTGATGATGTCAATACCCGGGAAGAGGAGAATCGTGGACAGTTGGCAAAATCACAGGTAACCTCCTCTAAAAAGCCGATATGAGAACAATGGGCCGGTTATTTAAATAATACTGTATGACATGAACACAGAAAAACATATTTCAAACTTTTTCTTCTACTCTATCACACAAACATTATAAAGTATAAACTGATACACAATGGACATCACTTTTATTTTGGTTTATTTTCGCTAAAATGTATAGTTAACAAATTAGTTTTAATTCTCATCACTTACTAAACTATTTTTGATTTCATTATAAAGGATGTGTTCCAAATGGAGAGAGCTGGGTTGCATGGCGAGACCCGTCAGAAGGAAACAACAGATCTGGCTCTAAAGGGGCATTTAGTTTGTAAGTACTAAACGATTTGTTCATAACATTGTAAATATATTTACCTTTTGACAAACAAAACCATCTCAATAGTTTTCAAACAAATATCAATTGTAACCTTACACCCCTATTTAATATTTCTAAATAACAAACTTGTCCAAAAACAAATATAGCAACAATCTTGTTGATGTAAATGGTGAACTCTTCTACTTTATCATTGACCAGAGTCATGTTTGAACTGCAATGAAGAATCATGTATCATTCTTTCTGGAAATATTTAAAGCATTTGTGTTTTAAGAGAAAACAAGCCAGACAAAGACAAGTGAGTGCATGTATTTGTAAAATAAGGATATGTATTCTGGCCATATCCAGCGACTGAGCATCCAGTATTTGTTAATATTATGCACCTTTGTTATCTATATTTAACATATAAAACGCCGACACAATATCGCATTCCATTTCTCTAGATGGTGAAAGTGCTGGAGTTCTAACAAACTCAAATTTTAAATGACTAGGAAGAGGTTTCAAATAAGAGTAATTCTATACATTTGCAATACAGTTTCTGCCTGATCCTGACACAGTATCTATTCTTTATTATCTCATTCTTAACATAGTGTCAACAAGAGTAATTTAACTGCCTATGGGCATAAACAGATCTGTATGGACTTTCGGGCTTCTTCTTAGATAGAAGACTAAATAGCTGGTATTCGATCTACCACTATACTCATGTTAACAGAGATATAGAATTTCAAACTAAAACATTAGGATAATCTGTTCTGTCATTGAAACACTATTTATGGCCAGCTAAATTTCTGAGAATTTAATGCGTTTCATTCGTTTCCTCCTGGACTAATTTGCTGTATGAATCAAACGTCCTGCGAAATTACATTATGCTACTTCGCCTTTTCCAGTAGGTTAACGTATCGTATTAGCTTTGCGATTAAATTAAATCATTAACAAGATACATATATCATACTTTTAGAATACGATGCCAGATATTGTTCATAAAAACTGCATTTCTGATGCGTACTTATGCACCATTCAAAGGTTTGCGTGAGACCCCCCCCCCATGTGGGCATGGGTGGGGAAATTGACAAAAAAGATTTTTTGACCTAATAAATGTGTCAGTTTCTCTACCCTTGGAGCAATAAATCTGGTCAAATATTCGCGACCCCACATTTGAAAACTATTTTTAAACATCAGATTTCCTGGTTAGAATAGACTGATGCTCGTAAATCGTGAGGGATACACGTGTAATACTTTGTTTGTGTCAATATTTTAATTAGAGACACCATGTATGTGTTCGCTTACGATTCACATATAACAAATAGAGAGGCAGGTTTTTAAATGACGGAATCAAAAGCCAATAAGAATAGAGTCCATTTAAGACGACGTTTTCGCAAATTGCCTGAAAGATTTGACAAAATGAGCCGAGGGGGACATGGTTTTACTCTTCGTTTGTATCTGTTCAACAAAAGTTGAGAGCATACCTGTATGAACGGTTTTTCTTTGTGGAATGGGCGGGTGGATTGTTGCGTTTGATGGGTACAAATCGGGAACAAATCCACATCGTAGTAATTTTCGAAAGGTCTCTTGTAATTTTTGCAATGACGTATTTTGCAATGACGTATTTTAAGATATTTGCTTTTAACTTTAAAAAGGTTACCTCCTTCCGTTTTATTCATCTATATCAAATTAATTAAATTAGAATTCGTTTGAACGTAACCTTTTTCCAAAATTTATTTTATATTAAATCAATCATCTATATTAAATCACTTAAATTCCCCACCCCGGGACGACACTCTTCGTCAAATTCCTACCCCTTGGGACAATATTGTCGATCAAATTCCTTACTCTCCCCGCGTGGGCCATGAGGGGACTCACGCAAACGTTTGAATTGTGCATTACTATTGACAATAAGGGTTTTCACGGCTTTTAGACTCCGGAGTCTGAAGTCTTTAGACCCTCTTGCTCCAGAGTCTAAAAGATTTTCTGAATTCTGAAGTGTTTTTTCCAGAGTCTATTTTTATATTTTGTCACATTATTTGTGGTAGAACTCTTGACAATATACATAGAAACTTTTGTGAAATGTATATAGTGATTAAATAAGAAGATAATCTAAAGTAGTATTTTGAAAAGTATACAATTGGGGTATCTCTGATCTTACATGGGATGGAGGAGTCGAGATACCGAGAGAAATCCAAGGTCTAAACATCTCCTGGTGAGAACCCTGATTGACAATAGAAAGAGTTCCCTCCAACTTGCCTCTAGTCTCATTACTCGAGCTAAGAGTTACTAACTTAACTAGCAAACAAATTGTTGAATTTTCAGCTGAGTATATGGTTGTACCGACGAGATGTTTGTGTTACGCTGCTCCAGAGAATAAAGTGCGGAGTGTGAATGATGAGCAAGTCGAAGCAATAACCGACTCGATTATCAAACGCCCCGATGCGAGCTTTTCTATAATGCTGGGCCACATCGATTCCAATCAACCCGTTTCAGAACGAGACGTCCGCAGTGGAAAGTACTCTATCGAAATTCTAGGCGGGAACCATACACTGGCAGCAATAAAGGGATTGTTCGCCAGCGATGGATTCAATGACACGTCAAAGTATTCTACGTGTCAGGTAAAGGTGTATTGGGGTTTGGCACGACCTCAGATCCTGCAGCTTGCCATAGACCACAATGCAGTCATGTCTGTTCATCTTCGACCAAAATATGTGGACATTGTCAAACTATTCAGGAGAGAGTTGACGCGTGTTTTGGACACTGAAGATGTTCCGGCATACCTGTCCAAGGAAGACAACAAAACATGGAGATCATCCTTAAGTACTATTATGAGAGTATCAGTAAGTACTTTAAAATGCCACGAATTTACTAATATTATATACTAGTAATCGTGTCCGTAGCCAGCTTTAACAATAAGGGGGAGATTTTGTCAGGGGTGTGATTTATGACCGTTTTGACTCGATGACTCAACAAACTATATTCTTTAGAAATAAGTTACTGTAATGTTATACTCTATTTTCATTAGACTATTTCTACAGCTGAATAGGAATATTAATTACTTCTCCAGCTTAGCATCACTATCGCTTCATTACCGATATTGAGGTTATCCACTGATAGGATCTTTAAAATTTTGGAAATTAAGGGGTTTATGATGGCGATTCACAATTATATCATTACGGATCGTTTAAATAAAACTAAAGGCAGTAGGATGAATTGTCCTGTTACCATAGTGTTTGTACATTAAAAGTAATTTTATGTCCATTCCAGAATATGCAGAAATTTTCGAGCCAATACCAAAATTATCTCCGAGTTGCCTCGCTACCTGGTCATATATGGCAAAAAGTGTTGCTCTTATTTTCTAAATGGGATGAGGGAACAATTAGAGGCAAGGTCACTGGAGACCTCAAACAGACTGCAATGATAAATGTGACTCAGGAATGCTGGCAGCACCTGGACGATATGGTCCAAGGAAAAATTACGTACCAGGAGTTTTTAAGAGTGAAGAAGCCAGGCAAAGACAAGTAAGTGCATGTATTTGTAAAATACCTTGTTTCAAATCATGAAGTGTAGTTGGCACAGGGACTTGGCATCAGCTATTATATAAAGGCTATGTACGGCACATCCACTTCGGTGGGTGCACTTGCCTGACATACAATATTAAATGGCGTATCATTGATTGATATTCCATTTCAAACTTAAAATAACAAAAAAAACTTGTCTGAAGAACGGGAATGATTCTTGAGAGAGTCAACTTGCTGTCATGATTATGAAGTCATTTGAGTTTAACCCTGTATGTAAACGTATTGATTAAATAAAGTGTGCTATTCCTTTAATTGGCAATTATCAACTATAATCGAATTACGTTTTTTTACTCAGTAGACATTTTGTTTTATAAATTATATTTGAACTTTTCGAAAATGATTATTATGAAATAGAAACGTTGCAATGTTACGTTAATGAAAAGTTGGTGTTATATTACATGGTTTTTGATAGGTTTATGAAACTTTTTTAATAAAAATTAGAGAATAGCCATGTTTATATTGTTTCCCAAGCTCGGTTAATCTAATTCTAACGAGTGATCATTTTCAGGGTCAAGAAATCTTCAGATAGTTCTCAAGGAGAGACGCGCATTGTCCCAACACCCCCCCAACCAGACAAGCCTTATGTTACCAAATCAGACACGACCGCATCTTCTCCAAGAATAGATCCAAGCAACGTGGCATATAAACAGGTACGTCCCTGGTAAATTTAAGAGTTTTGATAATCATCCGATTTAAAATAAAACACTGTACAGACCTGAACGCTATGGAATGCACTTGACCACAGAAAAACTTTCATTATTATAAGTGATGAACTCATGCGATTATCATCATATCAGCTGATCTATCATATGTTAATAGTTATATATTTAACTCCCTTAATACAGCATTGTTTAATAATATTAATATTGTCTTCACGCCATGCGTTCAAAAATCATATATATTTTTTTCTAATCTAAAAAAGGATGGATGTTATGGCTTCTTGGAAATTGTATCATCTTACAATGAACCATTTTGGACCATAAGTTATAGAAATACAAGCCATACACGCAGATACGATCATCTTGTGCAACGTCTATATACGCACACCATATATATATAATTATAGGATATCCTGTGATGTTAAGGAATATCATTTTTATGAACGAGGTGATATTGATATCTGCACGAGAGAGCGAAGCGAACAGTGCATGTATCAATATATCATCGAGTAGATTAAAACGATATTCTGAAAAAATCATAGGATGTTCTTAGTACCTTACACTAATGCCTGGGTCACATTTGCTCCGATTCATCGGCCGGTGCCCAGCCGATTGAGTGTTTTGTTCAAAATTGTATTCAGTTTGGAACAAAACACTCGATCGGCCGGGCGCCGGCCGATGAATCGGAGCAAATGTGACCAAGGTATTACTTGTAGTGCACTACATGTATAATATCATTGAAAAATAAATTCTTGACAAATAGTTCAATTCAGCGGGAAATCAACAAGCGGGGTATCTTGTCTCAATATCCTTCGCATATTGGTTTTCAGGAGTAGATCGTCACGATATCCTCCGCATATTGGTTTTCCAGAGTATATCGTGGCGATATCATCCGGTTGTTCATTTTTGCCAATAGATATCAAATTTATTTTTCAATGTTATTATACATTTAGAACACTAAGTGTAGGATAATCAATCACTAACCAATGATCAATCGATCATTGCAATTGATAACATAGCCATTGTTTTGGGCAAGTTTGAAGCATCAACGATTTTTGAGTTTTGTGGTGTTGTGTTTATCGAGAAAATGCATCTTCAATATAATTTGGAGCATACAGTATTATTGTTCCATTATACAGGATGGTCCTTAAAAGTGGAACATGATACTCCTACACCAAAATACATCAAAGTTGCACATCTAGTAGCTTAATCAATTTTGTTGAGTTTCCATCGCTTATCCATTATTTTAACATATTTCATAAGTCGAAGATCGATGGTGACTCCTTTCTCCCGATTTAAAAGGCGGGGCCTAGGCCTCCATTCTGCTAAAATGCTATAAATCTGACATTGTGATCGTCATACCATGCTATTTTGATATTTAGCTTACATCATCCTCAATCATTAATTGGTTTACCTCAATACACCATTACTGGAGCATATCCTACAATCTGTAGCCACAAGGATGCACGTGGGTCTATTTGGAGGCCTGAGCTGCGCCTTGTAAATCAGAAGATATGGGGTCCCATCGGACATTGACTCATACAATATGCTACAAACTGCAACTTTTATGTATGTTGGAGAAGGAATATATTTTCTACCTATGATTAACATATGTTACGCCTTTTTCGACCACACTGTATGTTACCAATTCAAGGTCTGCGAGGAACTATCCTTAGTAAAGAAAGAACTGGCAGAGTCGAACAGAAGTTTAGAAAAGGCACTTTTGCGAGCTGAAAGTGGAGAACAACTTGCTGCTAATCTACAGCTTGAACTACAACGCCTACAGCAAGAGTATAAACAGGTGTGGTAAAATAGCAATTACTTGTGACCAATATCATGTAAGTGTAAAATGTTAGAGTCTTGCTCCAAATTTGTACAGTGAGAGCGGGACAGATTTCTTATGCAGTGTTTTATGATGTCTAGAACAATTTGTTTTGAGGTGTATATTGGGTTATGTATGACCCATAGATAACTAAAGACCTGTAAATTCAAATTGGAAGAAAATATGTTTGTCGTATATATATAATCGTAACGAAGACCTCGGTTTAATTATTTATGGCAAATACAAACCTCAGATTTTATTCTGGCCATTGTGAAAGACAGGCGATTTCGGTCTTTTAACAAGAACAGAATACATATTTTGGTAATGTATGCCATGTACATGTATGTTATCATTGAATCGATTGTCTTAGTTTACCTTCTTCTAATGCCACAATATCGTGGTCTTTGTCCAGAGATTAATGGCTATATGTTTTTACTCTGCCGGATGTGAGTCATGTAGTGATCGCAATATTTGAATTAGAGGCGTGCACTGTTGATAAATCACTTAATCGATCAACAATATGTTTTAATCGATTAATCATCGATTAATCATTCTAACATAAACGATGGAGATCTGACATAATTTCCTTTCAATTTCCTAATTCTTTATATTAGTAGTAGGCGATAATTCATTCGTTTGATTTGATTGCATACCTCTATTTAATATATTTAAGATGTATCAGTGAAACACAAAAACAGAGGTAACCGTTGACCTTAGGCTAAGCTTGTTTGGCATTTGAGTTTTAAGCTTGGTATGTCATTGTCAACCTAACAAATTAGGTCTCTATCAGTCAGTGAAAACAAGTAAGCTTACTCACGGAAGGATATTGAAGATTATCTTTTTGAGAATCAGTTAATTGAGTATTAAAAATCTTAATCGATTAAACTTGTGTCGATCAATTAATCGATGATCGATTAAAAATTCACACCTCTAATTTGAATTATCAAACCACCATGTGTACACTTCACAATTTTAATTTCGAGATCTTGTCAAATTACCTCACAAAAATTTTGTTATTTCAGCGGGAACTGGATCTTCAATACAAAAACAAGGCTAAAGTTCAGGGGTTGCAAGAGGAGATCACCGTCTTACAGAAATGTACGTTTTATTTTGTAATACAGTCATTGAGCTCATTATTCATTATCAATGGCAATGCCGAAGTACCCTCCACGAGTATACATATATTAATTATTAACATAACACATATAAAACCCGATAATTGTGTGTGATGCAGATTTGTAAACGCTTTACTGATAAAAAATAGATTCACATCCCGCATGAGCACACACAATATAATTTTGTGATTAACAGACCATTCTATAGTCTTTTCAGGCTATTTCCGTTATAACCCTGCACAATTTCCTTCTATATTATATAATACATATATGTATACTTAAAATGAAGAAAATTTAACACAGTGTTTGCTGCGGTTTTAGACAAACAATCCGACAAAAAAGAGTCAGAAGATGTTGTGACTGTGAGAGATGAAGATATAGATAGTACAGCCAGTGAGACTTTACCAGACTACAGTGGTAAGTTGGGCAACTACGTATTCCAATATTTCGATGCATATGTATTCGTTTTATGGGCAGAAACACCTGTTGCTTATATTTTGATAAATGTCACATTAAAGCGAAATAACCGTATGTAGACAAATGTGATAAAACGCTAAAAAATGATTTAAAGAACAGACCAGTTTTGAACTGGGAGACAAATTTAAAAATGGGCTGATGAAACAGAGCATTTGGCCTAAAATCTGAAAATTAAGCCCCGTTCTCTTGATAAATGCACAAGTACACGTATTTCGGCCGACCCAACACGCAGGTCGCTTTTGCCACAGCCGCCTTGCGGCCTATCATTTCTGAAACCAGTTACATTGTATTTCCCTCAAATATACCCTGTATTGAAAATAAATCTCCCATAAGTAGCCTCTATATAATGTATGAGAATATTGTACAATTGCCTTTCAGCTAAATCGAGCCAAGAAGATGACGATATACAGCCATTAGATAAGCGGGGTAAGTATAACATGAAGTGCAATTCCACATTCTATAGGCAGGCCCGTAGCCAGGATTTTATCAAGGGGGGGGGTCAGTTTTCAAAAATTTTCAGGGGGGTTCACATTTGACAATTTCGCCAAAATATGGCTAAAATCACTTGGGAAGTGCTCAAAATGGTGAAAAACTGCATGATTTTGAATGAATTTTTGGCCAGGGGGGGGGGGGGTTCGCTCGAACCCTGCAAACCCCCCTGGTTACGGGCCTGATAGGGTAATGAGTAATGAGAGAGGGTGTGTTATACACTTCAAGACTACGATAAGTATTGCAGTTAAAAAGGTGACCAGTCAAATGAATCAATCAATCAGACAAACTATTTGTATGTTACTTGCTTGGAATATGTAGTGTATGTGTATTTTTCTAGAACATTCGTACCCTAGGACACTATACAGTTAAGTTTGATGATCATCGTATTATATATGGTGTCGTATAGGTCGAACAGGGCCTGGGGTTAGCATACTAGTCTGTAGTGAATGATTTAATATGTATATATTCTTCTCTGTGTTTTAAAAGACCTGTTTTATTTTGGTAATTTGATACCCATGCCATTCTTATAAATTTTACAAATACAAAATACCGACGTCTCACTACACCCTGTTTTAGGTAAAACTGTTTTAACACTGATACAGAAAGTAGTTGCTTTTGAAGTTTCTAGAATTGTTATAGATAATATTTGTATTTGTAATATTTATTTGCAGATTCCAAAAGGAAGTCGGTATCTCGAGATGGCGGTTTGAGTAAGTTGTCTGAGTGTAAAGGTTTTGTTAAGATGAATTCAATATAATGTTTCATAGTGAGGGAAGCGTATATAATTTATTGTAATCCTCCCCCCCCCCATTGTAATGTTTAAATTATTACAAATAAGCGCATAAACGCAAGAAAGACTAACCATAACTTATAATGTATATCATGAAAACGTACCTTATGGTATTTTAAGTTTAAGAGAATTGGGAATTTAATTTATTATTTGAGAATACGTCTTGTTGTGCAAAAGAGAAAACTATTGAATATAAATTGTACAACTGACAAAATTAAATGCAGTTGCACGCACTGCGAAATGTTTGTGTATACGTATTGTATGGTATGTATTTTTAGGAAAGCGACAGCGAGAGACAATACGTTATCCTGTGACAAAAGTAAAGGTTAGTCAATTGTAATTACTGAATTAAACTTAACAAAAATTGTGAAGACAAGGTTGATCATTAGCTTTTTAAACACTGCGTGTGTGTCCCGGGGTGTGTGTAAATCACATGTTTATAATTCGCTACTTGAGAGCGTCCATATTACGAAAGTCCTTTATTTCTAGGTCATATGCATCAGATGGCAAACTGATATATATCTTGCGGTAGTCGACGGCGAGCGAATCACGTACTGTTGCAAGAGGATTAGTCACATACGCGACATCAACGACCTGTCTGATATGACGGCAGCAATGCTAAAAGTAAATAATGAGGACACTTCAAATTTGTCAAATATTTCGAAACACATGTTTAGGATAATCAGCCCAAACTATATTGAGTCTGTCACTGCTGAGGACATTGTATTAACTTGTGAATCGAATTCACATCAGTTTTTATCATATCTGTCATCGTTAGTTAGCCAGCTTAAATAGCATGGTCATTTTTCAATTGATTATGAATCATGGAACCTTTGCAGTGGCCATTGGCTAACTAAAGTTGACAGATGTGATAAACACTGCAACTTGTTTCTAGATATCTTAGTTTACAGCAGTGACGTCACATCTAACCAGAGTGTTTATCTGCATTAGAAGCTGAATGCATAGCATTGCTTACAGCTTATCACAAATAACAGGCTGGCCTTATCCTACTTATCTGTTATGTCCTCAAAATAAACCACCACACTGCTATGCCAGTTAAAATGTGCTTAGAATTACCAAATCTTATCACATATTTCATGTTTTTTTAAAACAGCACGTTAAAACATTTTGAAAACTTCCAAATTATTAGCACAATATGTGTGCTATCTGAAAAGATAAAAATATCAGGGGCCATATCTTTAGTTTTCATGCAATATTAGCTTACGTCAACTCTATCCATGCTGATTTGTATCATGTATAATTGTATATGTTATGAGGGAAAAAAGAGAAATGAAGTGTTTGTTTCAGTTGTATTGTGTGTCGATTGCGTTAAACAATACTTAGTTACATATGAAAGTAAAAATGGTGTAATTTTAATTTATCATTAAGATGTCAGACTCACAGCCATAATTGTATGCCAATTATTTGCAAACAGTAGTAATAATTATAGCTTTTATATGTTTTGTATACTCTGCTTGGGTTACTTCACATTCTTGAATTATATTGCTCAATAAGAAAACACCTAAAAAGTAATTAAGAGTATAATTATTACTATTTACCCCCCCCCCACCCCTTCTGTTTTACACTTCAAGATATCACCATTGGTTTGATGCAGTGATTTTTCAACTACTAGTTTTGTCACATTCTGATTTATCAGAGTCCCTCTTTACCCAACGCTTTTGAGAGACTCTGATATATCATGAGGCAGAACATGTTCCTAGCCAGTGCATTCTCCAAGTAAATCAGTGTATATGGAGGAATAAATTAGTGCCTTAGAATGCACCGTCCTGTTATCCCCTTTGTAAACTTTAATTCAATGAATTCATTATGTGGAAAACTTTTATTTATCTTGATGGTTCTTGTTTTTATATTGAAAATTAATAACTATGATAATGTCGACATACTTCTTTTTCTTATTGTTTTCCAATTTAGAATTTTAAACAATAATTATCATGCAAATGTCAACACTTGGATTATTTGGGAGGGAATTGTGTTTGGTCACACTCATTAGGCTTGGTCTGCTTATGTAATCATGCAACTGCAGGTAATGCCTTCCCATGGTACTCATGGTCAATAGAACTCTGTAAATAATTTAATTGGTCAGTACATTTTAGGGTTAAAGGAAACATTTATTACAGTCAGTATCCCACAGTCTGAACTATTCCAAAGGGAAAGTAAAGGCTGTGGATCCCACAATGGTTTTGTCAGTAATTTGTCTTCAGTTTTTGATAAAAGTACCGTTTTTTCCCCTTTGTATAGTCTGATAGGTGGATAATATTATCCTTTATCTAACTGAATTCCAAAAAACTTAACTATGTCTTCACATAGGAAATAAGCTTTACTTTCTTATTTTATTTTGTTTACAAAGTCTACATAATTGTTCCAAAGCTTTAGTATGTGAACTGAGGTGCTTTGTTATTGCCTTCATTCTAAGTAAATGTGTGACTGAAATGAATCTGAGTATGGGTGTTGTCCTTACAAATGGTATAACTTGAGTTATAAAAATATGGTCCTCGAGGTTTTGAAATCATATTGAAGCTGAGACTTGTCTCTTTATAACCACACCAAACTTGAAAACTTTTGTAAGGCCAAATTGTCAGAAATGTAGAAAGTCTATCAATCTTGTCACTAGGTTCTGGGTGTTCTGTCATGGAACCTATTACTTGATACATTAACAGTTACTTATCAATGCCATTATCAACCCAAATAATCAATTTAAACAAGACAAGTACCACTTTACACCACCTGTAAATATTCTTTGTTCCGAGATGATTGTCTACAAAACTATGGCAGCTTTATAATTTCATTTTGACGTAAAAACATCATTGTATTACACATTTGGGGCATAAAACTTCCACATTATGGTACAGACAAGTGCAGGAGTCTGAAACTGTAAAACTTGTAAAACTTGTGTAAAAGAGTTGTGTTGTATTTGCAAATGCTCCCCCTGCTTACAAAAATGTATATTGTTCCATAGCTCTCTATATCATACAGACTGTACGAAATAGTTGAAGGGAATATTCTATGAAGTGACAATTAATCATAGGCAAGCAAGTGGATATTAAAATATTACTCTTTAATCATAGGATATTCTATGGACCTACATTTATTGTGAAAGCATTGTTTTTCTATGTGCAATCGTAGAATATCCATGAGCTTGTTAAGACAATTTTTCTTATTGCTCTGGAATATTCTTTGAAGTGACAAGTACTTATTTTAGGCAAAAGGGTGGATTTTAAATTATTTCTCTATAACCATAGAATATTCTTATGGAGCTACATTTGTTGTGAAAGCATTGTTTTCTCTGTGTTATCATAAAATATTCTATGAGCGTGTTAGAACTATTTTTCTTATTTCCATAGAATGTTCTATGGAGTAGAATGAAGTTATTTAGGCAAGCGAGTGGATTTTAAATTATTTCTCTATTACCATAGAATATTCTATGGAGCTACATTTGTTGTGAAAGCATTGTTTTTCTATGTGTTATCATAGAATATTCTATGAGCGTGTTCAAAACCATTTTCTTATTTCTATAGAATATTCTATGAACTGTAATGAAGTTATTTTAGGCAAGCACGTGGATTTCAAATAATTGTCTATAACCATAGAATATTCTATGGAGCTACATTATGAAAGATTTGTTTTTCTATGGGTAATCATAAAATATTCCATGAGCGTGTTAAACTATTTTTCTTATTCATAGAATATTCTATGAAGTGGAATGAAGTTATTTTAGGCAAGCAAGTGGATTTTAAATAATTGTCTATAACCATAGAATATTCTATGGAGCTACATTATGAAAGAGCTGTTTTTCTATCGGTAATCATAGAATATTCTATGAGCTTGTTAAAATCATTTTTCTTATTGTTATTGAATACAAGTGACCGTAATTATTTTAGGCAAGCAAATGGATATTGCTTCCCTATTAGCATAGAATATTCTATGGGGTTGTAATAAATTCACTTTACATATAAAATGAGATTTTTGTGTAAAACAAAATATGTTGTAGCCATAGATTATTCTATGGGAAAGGATTACCTGAAACATTGTAAGTTATTTAAGTTTGTATTGAATAAAGATAACAAATAGGCCCGAGAAAAAAAGATGAGTGTGTCAAATAAATGTACCATCGAGATATTGTAGGCCCATGAATTAATTTTATCTTATATAGTTTATATTATTCATATGCATATATTAATTTGACGGGTAAAAATGAAGGAATAAACGGGTTTTTCCCTTTTTAAATAGTTTGGACTTATAAGTATTTTCATCGCAGGTTAAGTAAATAAAAATTCAAAGGTAAAGAGGCTTTAACACGTAGTTCAATGGGGGAAAAAAGGTTGCCAAACTTATGGAGGGGAGTGTATATAGTCGTCCTACGTGAAGCTTTGGTCTGGGCAAACTCTACACAACAAGATAATTTATAACGTATAACCCCAACCAGCCAACCTATAGAATTAAGTAAAACTTACATTATGAAATTCATTCATTAAATGTTGTCTAATTATCATTTCGAGCGTTAATCGTTCCAAGGGCATAATGATCTTTCTACCAGTGGTGGCGTCATTCTTCTATTCCCAATGCAAAGAGGTGATCGGTTTGTCGCATTTATTTTGTGAATAAAACTTTACATCCAAGAAAACTTACTAAATGAACTGAACAAAATATGGAAACCCTACAGAACTAAAGCAAAATTTAGCACACCTCGGTTCAGGCCTCGTAGACTTCCACTGACAGGAACATCAGTTCCGACCTTGCGAACTACGTTCCAACCATTCGCACCTACGTTCTCACAACGTGAACGTTGATTCTTTAGTCGCTAGTCGCGAACCACCAGTTCCTCTCTCCCGAACATATTTCTCCAGAGTTCCCACATCACACAGCTGACCGAAACATTTTATTTCTATTACGCACTACTAATATTCAAATCAACTTACCTTCTCAATTTTTCATTTACTGATTAATGACAAAGCATCTGATTTTCACGTGCATTTAATTTTCGCGATGTTGTGTCACTCGCGAAAACGCAGAAATTAAGTGCACGTGGAAGTGTTTTACAGTGTTAATGAGTATCCTCAAATTGAAAAATAAAAGCAATTTCTGACTCCAAGAAACACAAAATATTGGGACTACTTTGCCATCCCGCGCACTGACCCGTTCAGTGAGGACTACGTATTGTTTTTAGTGATGTGTTCAGTTCTGTGTGTAATGGAAACATACCATCATATTTTCTTTATCGTTTTCGCCGGTCCCCATCTGGTTATAAAGACGTTGCGTCTCTATAAAATGAATAAACTTCCGTCGAAGAAAATAGTTGTTCTCAAATATAACGATTCTCTGTCACCGTCCTAAACTGATTTTTCAGGTTCTCTACTCCATGTATTTTAATGACGATAAAATGTCCTACAATTATTTGCCACATCAACGCCCCTGTCGATTGAACTGATTTGTCCTATAACAAGATATGTATTTTATTGACAACAAAATCTAAATGGGATATCTGTCATGTCAAAGTTCGCTATCACTTGATTTGTTTGGAAAGACGATGGAATCAGAATGTCATAATCAATTACTAATATATTTGGTATTCTATCCTTGACAACAGCTATATCCCACACCAAATCATTATATAGTGATATTAATTGAAATGTAATTGAAATGTGAGTTTGGCCATGCTGAAACGAAGACATCATGTCTTGGTTTCCAGTTGATCCCCAGTGAAAAGGATTAGATACCTCAGTGTACTGACTGCTGGCGTGTATTATAGTTAATACTATTAGTATGCAAAAAGTAATTACTAATATATTTGGTATTCTATCCTTGACAACAGCTATATCCCACACCAAATCATTATATAGTGATATTAATTGAAATGTAACTGAAATGTGAGTATGGACCTCACAAGAATGTTGGAATCAGATTATGTGTGCAGACATGATATTAAAATGAGACTATTCTATACTGCCTCTCAGATTATTCAACAAGAAACATTTAGCGTCTCGTATGACTTGTTATGAAGGTATTCTATATTTAATGAATTATAGCTTTGCTTTTGAATCACCACATAGTTGTAATGTGTTAATTACTATTGTCAAATGAATCTGGGGTTAGAGGCATGCGTAAAGCATCAAAGATATTCAGATGGACTTGCTCTGTTAATCATTTCAATCAATTGAGAGGCATCTCTCTGCAGTTTTATTAGATGGACATCAGAGAATGTGGCTATACAGTGGTGTTGAACAATAATCCATATGAACGGGGCTAAAACTGTGCGATGGTACATTATGAAAATGCTTCAAAAATACTTTATTTTCTATGTTGCAATGAGCTGACATATCTAAAAGGACTTGAGACAAGGTATTTGCATGCTGCCATTACAAAGCAGCAATTAGCCATTTTAAGGTTGACAAATACATCGATCTGTTAACGCCTTTCGTTTATTTCTTGAGAGGTTTTCTCTACAAAAATGTTAAATTTCACATTTGAATAATGCATCCATAACACGCATAAATATTGGACTATCATTTAGAAACGTTATTTCTAAATACTTTATCATAACGGTAGGTTCAATCAGCGGCAGATGAAGGTGAAGCATGGAGACAACTGTATCATATCTTAATAGGACTACACTGTTCTATAATTCAACAAATAATCAAACATGTCCGATCACCACTCGGATAGGACCAACAGCCGCCTTGATACAAATAGTCATCAATGCCATTCTCTCAGTTTCAATATCGTGCAGTAATGGACTTATCCTGGTGATCTTGAGTCGGAATTTATCGAAACTTTCTTCAACAAGTATTCTGATATTCAGCCTAACGATCGGAGATTTTATATCTGGAATTTTAGTTATACCGACCCTAACATACGCCCGGTTTATAGTGCCACTAAAATACTATTGGGACGCTACCCAGATAATATCGACACAGTCTACCATTTGTTACATAGCTTTAATTTTGACAACAATTGGTTATGTTAGTTCATTCATTCTTTTGACCTCTATTGCCATTGAAAGATATCTGTCTTTACGCTCGTCTAATGGGTCAACAAAGCGTCCTACAATCCGACGGATAGTAAGTGCTGTTGCTGTACTTTCGTGGCTGTATGTTACCATTTTGGCAATATCTACATTCCCCGGGGCGTTTCAGTACAAACCTCATCAGGGTTGTCATTTAAATACTTGCATAACGAAGAGAAAAATTGTCCCATCAATTCTGAGGATTCACCTCGGAGCAGCTTTGTTACTCGTGATCGTATTCTACGCGGCTATCTACTGGCGGATGCTGAAACACAATAGAACTGTACACATTCATATCGAGACAAACCCAACAAACATCGTTAAATATCTCAAAGAAGCAAGATGGGCGAAGACAATTTTCATTGTGCTTATATTCTTTTATGCTACGTGGTTGCCTTACTTGATCATTGGATCTGCAGTAGGACCAGAAAACTGTATGGCTGCATGGAAAAGAATTTGCTGTACTTGACGTCGTCCCTTGTTTTTTCAAGCTCTATTTTTAATCCTTGGTTGTACACATATAGACACCGTATTTACAAGAAAGCGGTGACGGACCTGTTGAGAGATATGCACATACTATAAATGTGATACTAACAACATATACAGGGTGTCCCAGAACTCATGAGAATATTTTGAGTGAGATATAAGGCATTGATGTTTTTTTCTAATTTGGTGCAATTATGGAGCATAATACATTGAGGAATAATTGACATGAATTTCAGGCACAGATTTTTTATATTTCGGGAACTTATTGAAATCTGAATTCTTACATCACCACAAACCCCTGAGTTGTCATGAGTTCTGGGACACTCTGTAGTCTAGTTTCTGCAGACTTAATGTTGTGGAGATGTTTTCGTGGAAAGTTTCTGCGGTCAGTAACATTTCTACGCTCGGTCGGATACTTTTGCAGTCACTTTTCCTACGGCAGCCGCACAGCAAGTTTTTGAATTTCTGTTGATTTAACGTTAAGGTACCATGATACTTAACAGGAAATGACGAAACAGGAAGTGACAAAAATTATGCATTTTTACATTTTTTGAACAAAGATAACAGAGTTTTGTTTTGACTTTCAGTCAATTGATACAATCTTTGAAATTTTAGAAAATAGTCTGAAACATTAATGGCGGTCATAAAAAGGAAAATAGATCGCTTTTCAAATCAGTTTTTTCATTTTTTTCTTTTTCTATGAATGATATCAAATTTTCAAAGATTGTATCATTTAGAGCAATATATTCGTCACATTTTCTGAAAAATTCAAAAGATTCTGTGTAGCGACCTTTCCTAGCTATCTCCTACTTTTAGCTATTTTTTCAGTCACATTTTCAGAGGGCTGAAACGATTATTTCGTCATGTTTAGGGTCATTCTGACCATGAACATTGTGATCCTGGACCTGTAAATGGTATGTGGAACTAGTTGAATTGACTTGAGGTCAAAACAAAACTCTGTTATCTTTGTTCAAAAAATGTCTAAAAATGCATAATTTTTTGTCACTTCCTGTTTCGTCATTTCCTGTTAAGTATCATGGCACCTGAATCTTTTTATTTTATCTTCATAAGTACAATTTATAAATGTTGTTTGTAGTATTAGGATATCACGCGGTCCTAACTTCGACCATTAATTTGAATTTTTGACCTACTGGATTACGAGTCTCATACTGCACCGTTTTTCTTCAAACTTGTTCCATTCAAAGCATAAAAAATCCCTTTCTGATAGTACATTATTCTCTTAAACAGAGTCCCTACTTCCAGCGGCATTTTGGTCACCAGCTGTAAGAAGGCCTGTTAACAGCTGGGGACCAAAACGCTGTTAGAACGAGGGACTCTATGTAATAAAGTAATGCACCGACAGAAAGGCAATTTTGTTTTGCTATTAATGGTATAAGTTTGAAGAAAAACGGTGCAGTATGAGACTCGCAATCCTTGATTTTCAAGCATCTGGTAGGTTAAAAATTCAAATCAACGGTCGAAATTAGGACCGCGTGGATATAGTATCGAATAAAACGGGCAAGTGAAATATATATAAGTTGCTGTGGTATCAGTGACCTTACATCAAACAGTATACGTTGTATACGCACATGTATTGTGATGTGTTTACAGCAAATATATGACCGAAACTGACACAAAAACCGTTTCCAAAGGTACAGAACATTACCCATCAAACTCTACAGCAGACGCAAGTGAACGGCAAACCCGACGCGAGGCCATCGTTGGACCTTTCTGCGGTCTGGCAACGGCCTGTTGATTACTACGGGGACCGCAGAAATTAACGTCAAATATTATAACTCCGAGTCAATTTCTACGGCTACTCTGCGGCCTGTAAAAAACGGAAACGCCGAACGGAGACCGCTAGGCAAGCGTAGTTTTTCTACGCTGGCCGCAGAAATTCACTTATTTAATTGATCTGCGATCGACTCACGGCCTCCGTACGACAAATGTGACTGGGGTGTAAATCAATTCGAGAAAATTTGTTTTCCAAATCGGTGTAGAGTCTTATTTGTTGACAAATTTAACATTTCCTTTTAAAGAGACATAGCGATTATATCCGGTGATTATAAGGCCGTCGTAGCCTCCATTGCCATGGTCACCAACTGTCAGTTAAATACCCTATGCGTATTTCATTTGATAACTGTTTATTGATGGACCTATGGCTAGAAGTGATGACGCACGCTTACGTCGATCGCCTTAGCACTGACTGTTATGATGCCTGGGTCACATTTGCTCCTAGTCTTCGGCCGGCGCCCGGCCGATTGAGTATTTTGTCCAAAATTGTATACAGTTTTGACCGGAATACTCAATCGGCCGGGCGCCGGCCGATGAATCGGAGCAAATGTGACCCAGGCATTACTCACTTAATTACATTAAAGGCCCACTTTGGGAATTTTCAACATGTTTGGGCAAAATATATAAAGACTTACATTTAAATTTCATAGTATGTCCAATGTATTGATAAGAACCTTATCTTTCATTTGACACCAACAACAGCTCAAATGGACCACATCAAACCTTACAGTAAATTATCAAAAAAAATAGTTTTGATCTGTCAAGCTTTATATATCAAGTTTTTATCAATGTCATTGAAAGATGGCAAAGTTGTTTGTATTAAATGATACATTCATTTTTGTGTCACCATCTTTTAAATCTGAGTAATTTAAAACATGCACTTTGTTTAACATGTGTATGCATGTCTAATGATCTCTGAACTTCAAATGCTTTTTTCTTTGTGAGTTATTTTTTTCTTGGTCCAATATTAAAGCAAATCAAACTTTGTGTCATATTAGAGCAAGTGTGTGAGTAACATGTTTCAATGATTATTTTTTCTTCTAAATTAAGTATAGTGTGCCTTTAATCAATTTGAGATTTGTTTTACAAATTGGTGTGGAGTCGCAATCAATGACATTAAGGAAATTCAAATATCTAAAACGTCTATTTGACAATATTTTTATTACAAAGTGAACTGTTTTTAAAATGTCTCAAAATGAAAATATTTTAAAATCTTGAATGGGGCCAAGAATCAACAACAGCTGAGATGTTACTAATGAAACAAATACTAGTTAGTGGCTTCAAATTACGGCATGAGAATCAAATTTGTGTTGTAAACAGATAAAGTTAGGCTAACAACATATGTTTCCCATTCTTTATAACCGTCTGAAGTGAGACAAACAAAAGAAATGTGATAGTCTTTAGACTAAGAGAAAGAATTGAAACATACGTCTTCGGCATCGATTACAATAACATCCCTCTAGAGAGCAAGAAACATCGAATTCAACATTTCTGGAAAACAACCTGCAGAATTTAACATGGAACAATTCAAGATGGTATTTGGAGGTATGTTAAATTAATTAAATACGTTTTATCCTTAATTGCCTATATTGTTATCAATGATGCATGGTTATGCAATTAAAAATAAGAACACAAAAGTGTACAATATGTCCAGACAAATGGGTGATCGTTTATTATACTGCAAAATTGTCATCCTGATGTTAATGTACCCCCTGTAATTTTCCTTTTTAGGGTCAAAAACCAGTTGGCAAGACAATATTTTAAGAGAAAATCCAATGTGGGCGCCTTAGAATTTACCCAGACTGCTCTAAAACTAAGTACTTTGAGATTTGCATACACAGAATCATTCCTCAAACTTTGAAATCGAAGATGTTAAAAAGAAGTGCATGTACAACACTTTACAGAGAAGATTTAATGTGCCACAATTTCGGAAAACATATTCAGTTCTAGATTTTTATACTAAGAACAATCCATGAAAATGTGAAACTGGTCCCTCAAATGGTTCACCTTTATAGACAAGACTTTACAGACAAGGTTCAAGGACGGAAAATCCAAAATGGCTGCCCTGTGCCCTAACATCTACCCATAATGCTTAAAACGAAGCGGTTCTAGATTTTTATATAAAGAATCATACCTGAAAATTTGAAATCGACGACTTCCCTGAGAATGGGTTAAAGACTTAACAAACATAATTTTAGTACGGAAAATCAAAAATGACCAACTTCAAGATCCAGAATGGCCTATAACTAATCAGTTCTAGATTTTCATAATAAAAATCATCCCTAAAAAATTTGAAAGTGATCCCTAAAACGTTAACCTGTCATATTTATTAATTTTGGGGGGTTTTAAAATACAGGTAAAAAGTCTGTGTGTGGCTTGAAGTATTGAGCCTCGCACATTTGATATGTGAACAATTGTGAGATACCATTATTTTCATACTTTTGTTTCGAATAAGGATCGGCTAAACATAAACATACCTCACACCATGTCAGTAATATCATGATCAATGTTCAGTGGTTTATCCATTATATACTCGATTAACGTGTATTCGTTTTTCATTTCAGGCGAACGTTTCTCATGGCTGCTCATCTTTGTTATTCTAGCTTCAATGGAGAAGGGTGGACGCGCAATAAGTGCTGTTGACAAGGCAAATATAGAAAAAGGCTTCACAGCTGGAACAGCAATTCTCAACTATATTGCGGAGAAAGAATTTATAGAGGCTTTAACTGCAATAGCCAAAGGTATTGGTCCATTCCTGGGTGCTTTCGGTCCGTTTCTTAGTTTTATCCTCGCGTTTATACCAGCCTCTGATTCGGCTGTCCTGGCATACCTAAAAGACATGATGGAAAACATTGATAACAGATTCAATCGACTGGACTCACGCTTCGATGAAATCCAACGCTTGATTGATTGGAATAAGGTGGCGGTGAACTTTGGTCAAATCGAACAAAAGATCTTGGCAATGGATGTAGAACACAGACATCTTTATACCAGTGGGGCACCTCCGGCGAATAGGAAACGCGTATTCGTTACACACTTCGAAAGTGACTTTCAGCTTAGTGGGTTGAAATTGTATAACGCAATCGTGTATACACACGGTACATTTCAGGAAAATCTCGGAGAATCGGTTATGCGCTAAAAATGACCGCAAGAAGACACGAGATTTTCTTCTTGGTGTAATGCGACTTCTCCTACAAGCAGTTAAAATAGAACTTGCATATTATAATGTCAAAGGGTTTGAAACGATTGCCCAACAGAGAAGACGAGAATGGGAAACCAGGATTCGAACGGTTAAATCGAATTTCGAACAATTTGACAGGACAGTTAGAGACAGATACCATGCTCAGTCTCGTGTGGACATTAAAAAATATGCTGCCGAAAATTATGGCATGAGCCACGAAGTCTTCAGTAGAGGGTTGTACGGAATGTTAAATGAAAAGTATTACTGGCGTGTCTGGTTTGTTGTTGTTTACAATCCGATATACGGTTATGAGAAGCACACTGTTAGTGTATGTGGCGGACATATTCTATTTCGACAAGACGGACGAAACATCGTGGTTGCAAGCAAGGACCGAAATGCAAGTGCAATGGACTTGCAAAGAGCGAGAACAAACCTGAATAACGCCTTTTATTATACCTATGGTTTGGGGAGTTTTGGGATGCTTTACCGAGGAGGCTTTGCCAGACGCCATTACAACAGAATTGATAAAACAGGTGCATGTAGTGTTGCTGTTATACGGACTGACTCAAATGTGTCGTACAGAGGAGACCCAAATAGAATAATGCACATCATTGTAAGTCCCCACAGAATTATTGCCGCAGACCTCCTGCATGTGATCATGTTCGGCTAAAATGCCATACAAAATACAACAATTTCAATTGTTTGCGAAACGGATTGGACAAGGCTGAATCTTTTCAGGATCTTTTTAGGAACGTATCGTATGACTTAAACTGACTTATAGAAAACGGATTTAAACTGTATAGGAACAGATTGAACGTACTTAGAACCATTTGGGGTCTATTTACAAACTCACACGAACGTAATCGAACGGATAGGTCCTCCGATGCTCAAATTCTCTGGTTGTCGCCACGTCCTGCATTGAGAACGAGTGTCAACGTACTTTAGACGAGCTTGATGGACTTCAAACGGAACTGTCGTACTTCGAGAACGAGGCAAAACCTGTTGCAAACGGGTTTAAACTGATTAAAGACATATCAAAGACTGTTTATGAACAAGTTGGCAGAAATATAGCTGTCACACAAAACGTATTAAGAACGAGGTACAACTAATTGTCAACTGGTTTAAACTGATTAAGGACGTAATTGAACTGCTTGGATACGTTGTGTAGAGGAGACGAACACACAATTTAACCCGATCTAAACTTGATACCAACGTACTGCAGACGGAATAAAGACGAGGTGAACGTTTTAAAAACTGTTTATGAACGAATCAACAGAAATAGCTATCACACCAGAACCAGTTGTCACTGCGTTCTTCAAAACGTTGCCGAACAGGTTTTAAACTGTGTGCAAACGAAATGAACGTAGCTCAGTGCAACTTCACAAAATTCGATAGCAACCATACCGTTTTATAATTAAATCGTGTAACAACGTACTAAAACGAGATGACACACTAGACTTAAAACGTAATTGCCGTACTTCGACCCTACGCGTTAACAACGTTGTGCAATCGGATATCAATTGTATGTACGTGTGCATACCGTCATGGTGCGACCTGAACGAACTGGGAATGAGATGGACGTATTTAAGTTTATGAACGAATGACTGGAAAGAACGGTTTAGAACTAGTTTGGTGTGATAGGGGTGTTATAATTGAACTGGCAGTACGCTGCGGTCACATGAAAGTAGCTTTATCTTAACCCCCTATCACACCAAACTAGTTCTTACCCGTTCTTGCCAGTCCTACGAAAACGTCGTAAAACGGGCTCAATCTGGCTGTGGTCGGGAAATATGTCTAAAATAATTAGCTACTTCGTTCATAAACAGTCTTCAATACGTCCATCTCATTCGCAGTTCGTTCAGGTCGCTCCACGTCGGTGTGCAACGTCGTATAACGCACCCCTTAGTCTAGAAGGTCATTATGACCTGATTACAGAACGGTATGGTCGCCATCTAATTTTGAATCGATTCAAAATTCTAAATCACATTCCCCCTCCGGGAAAGTCCATGAAGTTCGTAAACAGACCGTAGAACAATGTAGCTACGTTCATTCAGTTCGCACACAGTTTAAAACCGATTCGGCAACGTTTTGAAGAACGCAGTGACAACTGGTTCCATACGGTTGAACTCGTTCTAAAATAGTAAACATCGAGTTGGGTCTGTCTACGAACAGAATGAACGAGCTAAAAACGGACTAGATTGGGGTCTCACGGCTGCAATTTACGCCTGACTACACAACGTCGTAATACGTCCCTAGTAGGATCGAAGTACGACACTTCCGTTCGTAGTGTGTCCCTTGTGCGTCCATGTCGTCTTAAGTACGTTGTCACTCGTTCTGATTGCAGAACGTGACGATCACCAGAAAATTTTGAGCATGCTCTAAGTTCTGGAGGACCTACTCCTTCGAGTAGTTTCAGGAAGTTTGTAAACAGATCCCAAACGGTTCTTAGTGGGTTCTAAATACGTCAAATCCGTTCATGCACAGTTTAAGCCCGTTTTCGAGAACGTAGTTAGAACTAGTTTGGTGTGATAGTGGGGTTACTATCACACCAAACTATTTCTCACTACGTTCTCAAAAACGGGCTTCAACTGTGCACGAGAACGGACTGGACGTACTTAAAACCGTTTGGGGTCTATTTACAAACTTCATCGAACGGGAAGGTCCTCTAGAACATAGAACATGCTCAAAATGTTCTCATGGTCGTCACGTTCTAGAACGAGTTACAGCGCACTAACGACGATTTGGACGTACTACGAACGGAACCGTCGTACTTCAATCCTACTAGGGACGTTTTTAAACTGTGGGCGAACGGAATGAACGTAGCTGCAACTTTCTAAGCTCTATTTACGAGCTTCATGAACTTTCTAAGACGGGAAGGTGATTTTAGAATTGTGAAATGATCCAAAATTCGATGGCGACCATACCGTTCTGTAATCAGGTCGACGACGTTGCACATCGACGTGGTGCGACCTGAACGAACAATGAATGAGATGGATTTATTGAAGACTGTTTATGAACGAAGTAGCTAATTATTTTAGACATATTTCCCGACCACAGCCAGATTGAGCCTGTTTTACGACGTTTTCGTATGACTGGCAAGAACGGGTAAGAACTAGTTTTATGTCATATGGGGGGGGGGGGGGGGGGGGGTAATGAGTAATGATATTGTTTGTTTTTAAGTAAGTCATGATCATGTCCTATTACAACATCTATATAAGATATTTCGTTATTAGTTGAAATACATTTATTCATAATGTAGCTGTGAGATTGAAATATAGCAAATCTAACCAGCTTGGAAACCTGTTTCTTTTCAAAATCAATTAGATATCCACGAATAAAATCATGAACATTATGAGTGAAACATATGAATCTAATCCACAAATAATATAGGTTGATCAAAATAAGTTATTCTAGAATTAAAGCGTTGCATTTTTGGTCACATTGTATGCTTGAACATGTTGTATGTACTTAAGTGTGCATGAAAAGTGCGACATTAGAGTACTAACAGTACACATACATTGCCTGGATACAGTCTGTTGCACATATATAAGTCATTTTTACAATTACCAATACGCTTCTATCCCTTGTAATTATGTGACCTCATGTATTAAAAGTTATTTGCAAGTCATTTTTTCTGAGACCTGTTGCGAATGTTCACACATAGTGGAAATGTTCGTTTTAAATTTTGTTTATAGGGAAACAGAATTTCCCCTCATAGAAAATGTTATTCTTGATACTCATTCACCACCGTGTTTACTATGTCTGCTTCAAATTAAGTCAATTATTTAGTAAGACTCCTATCAGATTTACAAAACTCTCCATTCGGCCAGTCACATATCTGGAGCTGCTCGTTGAATACCAATCCTGAAAAGAACAAGAATGGAACGTGTTCAGCAGAAATTCAAATGTTATTTTCAATTAGGTACAAATCTCATAATCAGATCATAATATCAAACATCTTTGAAAGAACCAATTGAGCTTAAATTCGGTTTTTCTTTTTGCAGGATTACCCATGTGTTGATCAATCATTTAAGGCTATTAGTATTAGTATAATTATCAGATTTGTACCTAGTATGTGGCTCTTTAGCCAAACTTTCCTCGAAATTCGCCATCTTTTCCGCATGGTGCAGGAGCGCTTTCTGGCCAATCACAGACTTGGATTTTCTCATTAAACACAAGTCCTTGTATTATAAAAGTGTAAAGCATTGTATACATTATCAACCTTGACATATATATATTTTTAGAAGTGAAATATAGAATAATTTACGTTTGGCAACTGCAAGTTCCGATTTGATAGCGTGATGTTATTGTTATGGCCAGTCGATGTTTCAAATTGTTTTCATGAAAGGAGGACGGAAAGTATCGCAATAGATTTTGGACAGTCATGTTGGATTTTGGCTATTTTCTGAGGATTTAAACAGGTGCATATATTAGGCCAATGCATTACCTCCAGGAAATTAGCACTAAAAGAGATGAAAATAATTTCGACTTTGAGACTGGGAAGATGCAAACACCCACCCACATTTTTTCTGAAATGTTGTCCTGATTTTCAACCCCTTCCACCCCTGCTTTTTCAATTTTTGTTACATCAAGCAATATGTTGCGTTTTGAGACAAGTTACCCTTTTCCTGAAGGTAATGTACTGGCCTAAAATATGCACTTGTTTAAATCCTCAGAAAATAACCAAATTCCAACATAATATGACTGTCCGAAATCCGTTGCGATACTTTCCGTCCTCCTTCCAATACATGTAGGTCGGATATGAATGACTCTGTGATAAAATCACCAAAGACAAACGGGCTTTTACAAATTGTTCGAAAAAGAATACACACATACATACAGGGTGGGCCAAAAAAAACCACCCCCCCTAGCCATTATTCCTGATAAATATTCATTTCTTAACATGTACACCAACAATGATATATCATTTTAAAGATAATTTAATTTGCAACAAAATGATATATAATAGAACAATTTTCAACTTCCCTGGCTTGAGATATAACCATTTATGTGACATGGGGGTCAAAAAACACCTTTTCAAATTTCATCGATTTTGCGAACAATAGCCTATTTCTACCAAATTTTACTGTTCAGTTAAAAATTGCAACATTGTCATGAGTCTTTCATAATTTGATATTATATATTGTTTTCATTCAGTTTTTGAACCATGCATGCTCAATAAACATGTGTATGCTGATAAAACAAATTAATTTCTTCTTCAGGCTGTCCAAATATGGCTCAATAGACCCACCCCCCGACCCATCCTCTGATCGGATTATTCACTAAAGACTCGAAAGCCATTGGTATAATTGATGGATCTCTGCGAAGGTACCATCGAACTCCTAATTATTTATTCTTTCAGTTTGTCTACATCCCTGATAGGCTAGTGATCTTCATAGACCAACTGTTCTAAATGCCCAAGGTACTATACATGTAATCAACAGGATAGACCCTATATATCAGTAAGCAAGAATAGGGACATTTGCGATAAAAGGCTACTCAAATCGAAAGGGTAGTGCTGTCCCAAAAGGGAAAGACCGTACAGGCCCTGTTTTTGTTGAACCAGGAGCAAAAATATACTCTGAATGTTAATGACACGAGGTGTTAAAAAGGACTCCTCAAGGATATAAAAAACATGTGAAAGAAATGTCATTATCTGATAGGAAAGTGCTTCATCAAACAGGTCCAATGAGTTTTTGGAGATTCGAAATGACACCATCTCTCGCCCGGACAAATGGCTTACTGACACTCCAGATGCCAATAATGTTGATTACCATTCCTGGGGGCATCTAGAACAGTTGGTATTTAAAGATACCCATCCTATCAGGGATGTAGAGGAACTAAAAGAAAGAATAACTAGCAGTTGAATGGTACTTCCGCATACATCCATCAATTATGCCATCAACCAATGGCTTACGCGTCTTAAGTGAATAATCCAATCAGAGGATGGGTCCGGGGGGAGTCTATTGAGTCATATTTGGACAGACGGAAGAAGAAATTAATTTGTTTTATAAGCATACACATGTTTTTTGAGCATGCATGGTTCAAAAACTGAATGAAAACAAAATATAATATCCAATTATGAAAGACCCATGACAATGTTGCAATTTTTAAATGAACAGTAGAATTTGGTAGAAATAGGCCATTGTTCGCAAAATCGATGAAAATTGAAAAGGTGTTTTTTGACCCCCATGTCACATAATTGGTTATGTATCCATCTGGGGTTGTTGAAAATGGTGCTATTATATATCATTTTGTTGCAAATTAAATTATCTTTAAAATGATGTATCATTGTTGGTGTACATGTTAAAAAATAAATATTTATCAGGAATAATGGCTAGGGGGGTGGTTTTTTTTGGCCCACCCTGTATATGTATTACCTGGATTACACTTGTTGTGTCCAAGAAAGAACCCATGCCAACAAGTGTAGTAGTATTGACAATTTCTGGCCTCGTCGGCGTACTTCTGATTTTGCTTCTCTCCGCAGTCTCGCCACACACCACAAGGAGCAGGCGCCTTGGCTGGACTGAAATGCAACATATTATAGTTTTATTACATATCATAGCAGGCGCCTTGGTTGGACTGAAATTTTGTTATATCCCATAACATGCGCCGTGGCTGGAGTGAAATTCAACATGTATTTTATTTTATCCTACACTTAGTGTACTAAATGTATAATAACATCAAAAAATAAATTTGATATTTATTGGTAAAATGAATAATCGGAGGATATCGTGATGATATACTCCGGGCGGAGGATATCGTGACGATATACTCCGGATAACCCAATATGCGGAGGATATTGTGACGATATACTCCGCTTGCTGATTTCCCGCCAAATTGACTCTATTTGGCATGAAATTCATTTTGCAATGATATCATGCATTTAGTTCACTCCTTGTAAGTGTAGGATAATAAGAACATCCTATGATTTTTTCAGAATATCATTTTAATCTACTCGGTGATATTGATATATGCACTCGTTCGCTTTGCTCTCTCGTGCAGATATCAATATCACCTCGTAGATAAAAACGATATTCCTCAAAATCATAGGATATCCTATAAGTATACCACAGCGGGCGCCTTAGTTGGACTGAAATGCAACATATTATAGTTTTATTACATATCATAGCAGGCGCCTTGGTTGGACTGAAATTTTGTTATATCCCATAACATGCGCCGTGGCTGGAGTGAAATTCAACAGGTATTTTATTGTATACCACAGCGGGCGCCTTGGCTGGACTGAAATGCAACATATTATAGTTTTATTACATATCATAGCAGGCGCCTTGGTTGGACTGAAATTTTGTTATATCCCATAACATGCGCCGTGGCTGGAGTGAAATTCAACATGTATTTTATTGTATACTACAGCGGGTGCCTTGGCTGGACTGAAATGCAACATATATTTTTATTGTATACCATGGCAGGCGCCTTGGCTGGACTGAAACCTTTGTTATGTCCCATGGCATGCGCCGTGGAAATGCAACAAATACACACTGCTATACGGAGGAACTAAAATGAAACATGTTTTTTGTAGTATACCATAGCTTGAATTTTACACAGATTATTTTGGTTAGTTTATCTTTGTAATCGTTGATATTTTTCATATATCAGGTGTCCCAAAAAAACAGCCACTGTTTGACAAGTATCACCTCGGGAACTGATAGACCAAAACTGAAAATTTGTACAAAGTATCCTAAGGATTATTAGCAAGTTGTAAAAAAATCAAAAAAAAATCAAGTAATTAAATATTCTGTGAGCACTAAGAAATTCAAGATAGCATGTCAAAAATTCCCATACCGGAGCTCTGACATGTGACTTTTATAGTGTTTGTTGCAGCTATCATCTTCGCACGCTCGGTCTTCACTGCATTCGATAGGAGCCGAGAGATGTCTGAATAATTCTTTTCATTCATCCCAGATATCCAAAATCCAATTCATTCTCAAATTCATTGGAGTTGATATTGTTAGAATAAATACGGAAAAGTATTTTTGCTTGTAAATGGATTAATAAGTGACTTTTACATTGATATTGGTTATTTTGACATACTGTCAAAGTAATTCTAAAATACACTCATAATATGAGACCAATCTCTTACATATTCATGGCACTAGCAGAGGATACCCTAAAGTGCCTCATCAGGTAAATCTTTCAAAGAATTTGGCTCACCTATTGCTGAGAAATTAATTACTTGTCACATTGCTTCTCATTTTTGGTAGAAACACTATAAAGTTCTCATTGCGTTGCTCCGGTGTGAGCTATTGAGACATGCTATCTTGAATTTCTAAGTACTCATTACATGATCTTTTTCATATTTTTGTACCATGCTATCAATATTCTTGGGCTACTTTGTACAAATTTTCAGGGAATTTGGTTAATCAGTTGCGAAGATAATACTTGTCAAAAAGTGGCTCATTTTTGGGACACCCGATATGTAATGGATGTAAACGGTCATAGGATAAAGTTCAATATGAAACATATATAATGACCGTACCTGTCACAGGTACCACTGTTCGAATTCAATACATTTGGGGAGGTACATCGGACTTTGTAGGCTTTGTTTCCATAGCAACGGTAGAATACCCGGCAACCTCCACCATATACGCCGTCTAGTTTCCTGGAGCAATCGAATTCTCGTGAGCCTACGAATTGCACCTTCCCTAAACCTGAAAATCATCGGATTAAATGGGTAAGTTGAGTGAAAAATGTAGGGGTTTTGATATAGTTACACGTTTTAAAGAGAACGTATAATATCCCTGGGGATAACTGTCCCCTTCTTTTGTTTTTTTCAAGGGACCTAATTTAAACTGTTTTCTTTCATATAGCTTCACTCAATCGGGCAGGTAAATACTCAGAATAGAACAACTAGTCTCTAGAATATAATATATCTACCAATACATCTACAAGTTATCTTTAAAGAGTAACTACACTTCCCTTATTTGGTTAGTTTACATGAAGAATTGATCTCTGACGGCTCGCGCTAAAGAAACAATACAAAATCTGGGTAAAGTGCCTATATGGACACCCTGTATATTAAAATAGAAATAAAGAGACACTGCACCTACCTGGATCGAAGTTATGTTTTGGTGTTGTAAGAGTGACTTCTTCTAGTGAAATAGTTGTCACCGTAGGATTAACAGTGGTACTTGATGTGTACTGTCGCGTTCCTCTCTCACCGTCCATGATTCTTATTCGTCTTTGGTTAACTAATTTTTGCCATCGCAAAACTTTCTTTGTCGTTGACCGGTCATCATTTTTAAATCTATTCTTAATTTTAACTTCATCGCTCGTGGCAGTCTTTGTGAGGTCTTTTATTTTGGGAAATAAAATTCTGGCTTTGATTGTTGTAGTGAGTGTAGGTGTAGATGTTGTGGTCGTGGTCGTGGTTGGAATTCCCTTAGTGGTTGTAGATGGTTTTATATAATGTTTTCCTATTCTAGCTTTAGGTTTTAACTTTAGAAATTTAGATATGATCGCCTTTGCTTTGGTGGATGCAATACTTTCGGTTGTAATGATATCCACTGGTGCCGCTGTTGGAACATGTTTAGTTGTTGTACCTGAGGAAACCATCTTTTGTGTAAAACTATCCATTGCTTTAACGTATGCTTTGAAACGATTCAGTTTGTCACCTGATATCTGGTTATTGTCCTTGGGGTCTTTTCCGATGTTTGTGGGTTTCTGTTCTGTCTCAGTTAAAGATGAATCAAAGGCTTTCTGTTCATCTGGTTTTCTTTTGGCATCAGCAACACTTTTTGTTTCTTTCCTTGGAGAATGGTTATCTATTCGGCGTCCTTGGCCTTCCATTTGTGTTCTTGATGGATGCATGTGACTTCTAGGCCTGTGATATTGCTCATTAAGGTTACGTCGATCATTGAATCCTTGATTCGCATCCGTCCATTGATTTCCGTCATAAACTGGGTAGGCCATATCATTGTATGTGGGATAATCATATTCCAATTCACCCATATATACCGGAACACCATGCTGCTTATACTTGTTTGCGTCAAACTGCTTGCGCTGATCAATTGTTTTGTGAAGGTTGGGTAGATCATACCCAGACGGGACATTAAATCTATGACTCTCAAAACTACCAGAGGGTTCCCTGTTTCTTTGAAGATCACCATCCTCTCTCTTTTCGTCTCCACGAACGATTCTACGACCGTCAGATATTTGTTGGCTTTTTCCAATGAATGTTTTGTTGTAGGCTACCATAGGATTGTTGGGTCTAGGGATGTATTTATGGTTATCATATGGGTGTTCTGGTATGGTTTTGACTGAATCCTTTCCAGGCCCTTCGGAGCGATATCTTTTATTGTCATTTTGGTGTGGTTGAAAACCATTCTCTATGTTATTCATGGAGCTCTCTATAGCTTGTTTTCGTGGATTGCCATTGCGAGATGGTTCAAATGTCTCGGGCCTATATTTATAAATGTCATATTGATGTATTGGCTCTGTAGCTTGATCTGTAGCTTGATCTTCTGTATTGTCATAGCGATTTGCGTTTTGCTGCGATTTTTGTTTGTTTGGCTCGAACGTATCGGGACGGTATTTATGATGTTCATATGGATGTGGCGAGATATCAGCTGAGTTTTTGTTCTTCATGGGGCTCTCTGTAACTTGATCATCTGGTTTGTCATAGCGAGGTGCGTTTTGATGCGATTTTTGTTGGTTTGGCTCGAATGTCTCTGGACGATATTTATGATTTTCATATGGGTGTGGCGGGATATTAGCCGAGTTTCTGTTCTTCGTGGGGCTTTCTGTAACTTGATCATCTGGTTTGTCATAACGAGGTGCGTTTTGATGCGATTTTTGTTGGTTTGGCTCGGATGTCTCAGGACGATATTTATGATGTTCGTATGGATTCGGAGGCAGTTTCTTGTCTGCCTTGTTGCGTGAACTCTCTTTAGCGTAATAAATATCATAAGGCTTTCTGGATTCAAATTCGTTTCTGGTACTTAAGGGTAATCGTCTATAGGAAGCGTTCGGAGATATTCGTCCCCCTCTACGTTTTTCACCGCTTTCAGATGGGGCAAATGGAGGATAAGCTTGGTCAAAATAGGGATCGTTTCTGTCACCTCGATGAAACCCATAGTCTGGGAACTCATTGTCCTCTTGGTAATAATGGTTTTGCTGATGTTTGTCCTGGTCTAACCATGCGCCGTAAGGAATGGGTTGGAAATCCCAATCAGGGCTAGCATCATAAAGGGGATTATCCCATTCATAGTCATCTTGTTGGTTGGCATTTTCCATAAGCTGGCCTTTCGGTTGTTTATTTTGCTTTTGTGAACCCGCTCTGTGAGAAATTTGATCAAGTGCTAACGATTTTGTTTTGAATTGCATATCAGTAGTTGATGTTGTTGTTGGACTATTCTTGGTCGTTGGTGGTCTGCTTGTAATCATTATCTGTGGTTTAGTTGTTATATGGCTAGCGGGGATTGGTAATTTAGTGGACTTCGGCTTTGTATAACCATTAGGTCCCATCCTGCCTCTTGTGGTGTATTTTCCTTTTTCGAATTCTTCACTAATGGTGCTTGGCTGTGTGTCCGCCTCTATTTGTATTTGTCCATTGGTTGTTTCATTATGCTCACCACCAGTTTTAGTTTTTCTGTCACGATCAACTTTTGTGGCGTCTGCTATTCTGCCTCCACGAGGCGCCCCTCTAAAGATCACAGTCACATGTGACCTTTGGGTAGATGGGATGGCTGTCGGAGCTCTTGTGGATTTGTGTGTCACAGTAGAAATTGTGGAAATTGTAGAAGGCATAGCTGACGCCACGGTTGCTCTTTTAACAAATCCTGGAAAATCTGGAAAACAGAAAGGGTGAAAATATAATATTTTAAATTTTCGTCAAGAGATATACAAACGGATTTATAGGACAGTACCATTGTGCCCCGCATGCATAATTCTTCATTGACGACCAATATGCTTCAGAAATTGTTTATGAGTCACCGGCCTTTGAATACGTCCGGTCCCCCTCTACAAATGCGGCAAACCTAGCCTGATTTAACATTGAGCATATATATAAGTAACTCAACTATGTCAGAAAGATTGATGATTTTTAGATTGCTAAAAGTAAGCTGCCTTTAATCAGTTGTCCATATCGGGAGGGGTTGATGTAGCCAAACTTTTAAAAATAATGTATCTCTATTCAAATATAGAACATACTTACTCTGAACATACAAGTTGGTTGTTAGGGATATCTCTCTTTTTATACCCTTAACCAGATTCTCGGCGATACATTTGAAGTCGTAAAATCCAGTATTTTTTATTTCAGCAATCGCAGATGTGTTCAAATACCTAAATTAAGAAATGCAGGTACGTAATAGTATGTTGTTTTACGGAGAAACTTAAATTCATACAATAGATATACTCTTACCAGTAGACAAAATAAACGTTATTAGTAGATAGAGTATTTCAACTCATTTGTAATGCTGCGCCGCAGTGTGTAGGCGTGGACGTGTAAAATAAAATAGAAATGGGAAATGGAAGAGAACGTACTTATCAGTGCTCACGGTGATTGGCGAGTTGTTGCTGATCAGTTCCCAAGTATAGGTCGGCACGGGGTTGCCTCTAGCCTGGCAGAAGTACATCTTGGCTCTTCTATCAAACAAGATCTTGCCACCGTAAGGAGGGTCTGTATAGTAAATTGAATTTCATTGGTAGAATCATTGTAGTCGCTTGGTAATTGAAGTGAATAAATCTAATCGTGTGATTGCTAAGTTTGTGTTGTGATGAGCTTAAAATGTTTAGCTTTAAATATACTGTAAAAGCGTGATATGATTCGAATGATTTTATTGATAGAAATGATAATTTGTACTTCATTGTACTTCATTCACTGTTGATCTATATAGCTACTTTTGATTATTTCAACATAATTCATCAAGTTTGTCAACATATGTTCGTCCTATTATCATTAAAATGCAAGAACAATAAAATAAAGAATTAAAGAATTGATGTTCAGACATTAACACGCTATTTGATGGGGATATACGGTTGCCAAGGTAATGGAGGCTATACAGTGCGTATAAAAAACGCAACAGTTTGTTATCTCGGAGAAGCACAAAACCATTGATAACAGTCATTGATTTCATTCAATGTACCATAAAGCCATGTGTCTCCTCATTCTAATGGTATATCATTCGTTGATATTGGGTCATGGTTGGGCGAGTAATTATTCCTTAAGCAAAGTAGGCCAAAATTACCTTTGGGCCAAGTTATAAACATCGCAAAAGTCAGTGCACGGGGCCCAATGCAATATTGGAAGAAAACCTAAAACCAATGATGACTGCATCCTTTTCATTCAATGTACCAAAAACCCAAATTACTCCTCTTTACAATGGAATGTCATTCATTCACAGGGAGTCATGGTTGTCCGAATAATCATTATTTTGTAAAGTGGGGCAAAATTCAGCTCAGACCCAAGTTTTAACATTGCAAAAGTCAGTGCATGGGGCATAGAGGATATTGGAAGAAGTTATGGGATGTGTGACATAGACTATAAAGTTTATACTCATACTTTTGCAAGAATAATCCTATACCCATCTAAATTGCCGCCACGCACTTCTTAACACACAAAGATGCCCTTATCTCTCCATGCCATTCATGGCTCAGCTCTGACTCATCTGTGGATTAAGGCGGAGAAAAGTAGCCCATTGGCAATTCTTTCTTGAAGTTTTGCAATATCTAGTGAAGGAATGGTGAGCACAGATGCTCCTGAGATAGCTCCAAAAGAAAAGGTCACAACAAATAAAGTCAGGAGAAATTCCATTGGCACTTAGTTCTTGCACCGATTTTTGCAATTTCTGAAACTTGGCCCAGAGCCAAGGATTTCTCACCCAACCATAACAACATGTGAACGAATGACATATCATTGCAAAGAGGATGGGTGTGGCTTTATAGTACATTGAAGGAAATTAGGTGTCACGGTTTCCCGATATTGGACCGAATTTCGGTCCAGATGCTTCGGTTCGGGACACGGGACAGAAAGGGTTAATATCGGTTCGGTATCGGTACATAAATTCCTTCCCTAAAATGCATAAAAACGTGTATAAACAGCGAGGAACACCTCCGATTTCGTTCTGAAAAATTAAATATTTTCACTTACCTCGTACCTAGATTACACTTCTTTGCATAGAAAAGTGTAATTAACGGACCCGCGATTTCAGGTAGATGGTAATGCTTGTTCGTAAATTTCTTCACCGTCGTTCGCAAATCGAGTGCATTATCAGTATGCCGGATGAAGGAAAGAAATTGATAAATCGAGCCTGCATCTACTAAGTCGAAAAAGTCGGCAGTTTGGAAGTATTTTGGGACTCCGATATCACAAGGTATACCAATTGGTCATAGTTCACCGTGCAGACTATGTGAAATGCCGATCACATTCGCGGCAGATGCTTTATATTCGATTTTAATTGACGTTTTTTATTTCTGAATGTGATTTTGAAAAGTGAAACTGAAAGTGAAACTCATCATCAGACATTGCATCATTTTTAATGTTCTGTCCCGTCCCGTCCCGAAAGTACCGTGTCCCGAGACCATTTGTACCGTTCCGTACCATACCGAAATTATTTTGGACCGTGACACCTCTAGTAGTCATCACTAGTTTTGTGATTTTACGAGATAACTGCTTGTTGCGTTTTTTATACGCCCTGTACAGGCACTTTTGAATAATTTTAAATGCTATGCATGTTTATCAAGTTTTTCCATGCCACGTGACAATAACCAACGATAGCCCTCGAAGCATCTCGTTGTACCGTTAACATCACTGGTGATCCGCCCGATTACGCTGGTTACCAAAATTCGTTTTGGTAACAAAGTAGGCAGAATCCCCACGACGATTTTACACATAAACATGCATCAGCATCATATGTTTTAGAAAACGTACATGTTTGCGAAACAATAGCTCAGAAGACAACAGAATCGTCGATTTAATTCCTCACTTAAGTTACATAAACGGTTTGGGTTAAAAGTGCAGATCTTAACTGTTTTCGAAAAACCGTTTATGTAACTTAAGTGAGGAATTAAATCGACGATACTGTTGTCTTCTAAACTATTCGTTCGCAAATACGTACATTTTCTAAAACATGATGCTGAGGCACGTTTGTATTAAAAATGTCGTGGGAATTCTGCCTACAACGTGACTGTGAAATAAGGAAAAAAGAAAAATCGGTAACCAGCGTAATCGAGTGGATCACCAGTGAACATCAAAAATGACTATACAGGGTGTTCCAAAAGTAACAGGACTGGTGCTGGTATTTTGTTGAATATGCACAGATTGTCTTCAAAATTTTACATAATGTACTTTCATGTATTGTGATAAAAAATGCAAAGTTTCGACAAAAATTATAAAACCCGGGCACAGTTATGGTTGCTATGGTAACATGACATCACAATACCCGGGGCAACATTCCACACAGAAAGCTACACAGACTTTAAGCATTTTGTACATCCCATATCAAAGTTGAAATGCAACAACTGGTGGGAATTACACTTTTGGTTTACATCATTTGATATTCCTTTGTATCCTCTTTTTGAAAAATGGACTCCTCTTTGGTCAGTACAAGAGTAGAACTCTGTATCCAGGACTCAAACGCATGAGTGAACCCATTTGAGGACATCGCAGGGTCAATTGGACAACTTGGAGAAGGTCAATCTCATCTTAAAGGTCTTACCGCGCTGATTAGCATTCGATCCATTCTCCATTTAAGTAAAAATTGGATATTGCATGATCAGAAGAGTATGGTGCATGGTCTTAGACCTCAAGACCTAACTCTTTTATAGCTGCAGTGCCCTTTAATGCTGACTTGCAGGCAGGCGTGTTATCAAGTTGAATGACTGGCTTCAAATTGGGCCTTTTCAAAAACTCAACCGTGAATTGTGCAGACTGTTATACATAGATTCAAGGAAATTGAATAAATTATTCAAGGAAATTGAATAAATATTATTATTATGAAATCATACTTGAATCTGAGTTGTATAGCAACACCATTATACAAAGCAACTAATAAAACAAAAAGAAATGTTGTATTGTAATAGCTGAATTAGATACTTTCTTCAGTAATACAAAATTATTGGATATCACATCTTCATGAAAAAGTTGCCCCGGGTATTGTGATGTCATGTTACTATAGTAACCATAACTCTGTCCGCATTTAATCATTTTTTTTGAAAATCTTTAATCTTAGTTGCAATACTTCAAAGTAAAATTTCTGAAAATATGAAGACACTCAGTGCAGAATTGACAAAATGCCAGCACCAGTCCTGTTACTTTTGGAACACCCTGTATGTATTCATTTAAGAAAAAAACATCCCCATGCGGTAAACGATTTCATGAGCTCTATCCCAAACCAAAGAAAAAACAAACACCAATTTCAAATTAATTTTAAACAGATGTGCAAAATTTATTCTAACTAGGAATGTGCATATTATGTACAGTCCCATCGGTATCATGCAATGTTATTTATACAATGTTCAATAAGATGTGATTACATAATAATCGTTTTATGACAGTACTACGATAACCATTTTCTAGCTAACACACCCCTGCGACCCTCCCCCTCACCACAATAACAAGGTGAGAAGGTGTTTAGTCAAGTAGATGGGGTCACAGAGCCTTGTAGCTAGACTACCATAAGCAGTCCTGTTTTTAAAATGAATTCCATTTTACAATTCATAAAAAATATTTATCTTTTTAATCTTTATCCAATATTTTGGAATTTAACTAATAATATACTTATTTACAGCTTTGATTTTCAAAAGAGTATTTGTGGTCCATGTTGGCACCAACATTTTAATTAGCACACGATCAATATTAATACATAACATTGTGCTATAAATATAAACATTGTGCATGTGTCAGGTGGTGTAATAAAAAAGTTATTAACGAAATAACCAGAAGTCCGTAGTTGGTCCCCATGCGTTCTACTCCACCCGGAGATACCCCTATCACTTTGGGACGAAACCGACAGCTCCCAACCCTTGCCCGAGGTACCCTACCGCCAGCAGTATATGGAGGATACCACTTACATTGAACGTTTAATGGGAGCTCGTGTGATGGTTTTTCCTCCCCGGGGTAAAGCACGGCGTTTTCAGCGACGCATTTCACGATTGAGGCGTCATCATCCGACAGAACTTGCATTGTCAGTGTACTTGTCGCAGTGACAGTCTTGTTCGGATTCAGTGTGTATTTTGAGCGATATTTGCTGGTGGCTATAGTCTCGAATCCATAGCCATTCCGCCTTTTGCGATACCATTTTAGTTTACCACTAGGCTTGCCCACGTTTCCGTCGCATCTCAGGGTTATATTGTCGCCTTCTTGGGACTGTGACATAGGACGTATTCGGGGTTTCGTTGGTGGAACTGGAAATAGAGCAAAATATGTTTATTTTACTACACGCATGGTCTTATTTAAAACTGAGTCGACCAGCAATTTGCAACACGGACATATTTGCCATATCTCTATTGCAGCTCGTCCTGTGCACCCCTGTCTACCAAAAAGGAAGATAGCACTAAACGAACAGTTCGGAGATTGCAGTGACCGTTGTTGACAAATTTCATAAGTCTCCTTCCCGTACAAACATGAGGCAATGAGGAACCTAAGCGACACTTACCTTTAACGGTTAATTTCTGTAATGCTGCTACTCCGGGTTCACCTACAGGCTTCACAAGACAATCATAATTCCCCTCGTCTGAGAGGCGCAGGTCTTTCACATACAAAACTGCCCAGTGTTTTGTACCAGATGGCTCTTTTAGCTCCGTATTGGGTTTTCCATTGAGACGCATTGCTCTTGGCTCTCCAGTGTCTAGTAGCATAGCCTCTTCCATATCCTTCAATATGGCATTTTCTCTCGAAGTTTCTATTGTTGGATTTATATCATTCGTTGTACTTATTTGCACAGTCATCGATGGTGTGTTATCAGATTTGGCTGTGGCACCAGCCGTCTGAATAACTAAGTTGTCGTTTTCATTTGTGGCAGCTTTATTTTTAGAAAGTCTTGATCTTGATTTTGTCAATTTTGGATCTGGAGGATTCATAAGTATATCTCTATTCATACTGTCCTCTGGCGTGCTATCATTTGGCTCTCTTGTATATATAGACTCGGGGAAAGGTGTAACCCTTTCAGGTGTTTTATTTAGTGTAAGGTTTAGAAATGCTCGACCTTCCAGGTCGTTGTAAGCTTGATTATACGGAGGAATGAGACTGTATTCGTATACAAACGATCGTTGCTTGTAAATGTCATAACGTATCCATGTAATGTATTGTAAAGTAAAGTTGTCTCCATAAAATATACATTTAAGGTGAGCCATCTCACCTGTTCGGGTAGGAGTCGGTTTCGATATGTGTATGTCTGTTATACTGCTCCCAAATATACCTGAAAAAGAAAAAAAACGCCACAAAATTAATTTCAATTTAAATGTATGCCTTGTTTCCTCCTACCTCCGCACCCTACCATTATTACCTTCTCTCACACATAAGACCTGATGGGTATCTTATAACGCCCTTTCCCCATTTTCGATTCTTATGAATTTAGACTACTCCAGTATATTAAATCCCTATCTATTATCTAGGTATCTCAAGTAAAATTCGGAATTTTTGAAATTATTGCTTCGAACATTTCCACTCCATATCCATTGTTGTGCTTTCAGTGAGTTATTTTTGCCATTTTTGAAATGTTAAATAAAGTTTTAAGTAAGTAATCTCAATTTATTCTTTGCGACATTTTAAACATAAGTTACATTCCTTGGCCTTCCTTCAGATATATATGTGTTGTAGTTATTTTTGATTAACAAAAAAACTTACCCATTGGTAGCAGTATAAAAATGCTGAAGTATAACAAATCCATCATTTTAGTTTTAATTTTAAGGCGGTTACTCATTATCAAATCATTTTAACTTTCCGATTCGACCATCTTTTTACACATTTTTACATTCAATTATATGAAAATCCCATGTTTGGTAACATATTACTAAATAAATATCCCAAATGTCATTGTAGTTCACATTTTAATCACTTTTTAATTATCTTAAAATGATGCAGTAGAGAACCTTTAAGTGTAGAATTAATTAATAATTATTTCAAATCAAATGTCCTGATGGACCGCGTTCAACTTTTGAATCAAATTCGCATATGCTAAATGTTTATGCTTTATTTTTATTATAAATCTCAGCTTTCGATTTTTCTATATTTTCATTTTATTTATATGGCTAAATGTTGTTTCTCTGAATTCTTCGATTATTCAATTATTTTAGTTGCTAAACATGAACACATTTGGTATTATATTCACGGGAAAGTACGACCTCGTGCAATTATTAATCGGAGCATCTGTTACATAAGGGACTCATTAGAATATACAATTAGGAAGTCATCTCAGAATTCTGAATCACAATTCATAAGTGACACCATCTTCTGATTAGAGCTTCCAAGTAATTCAAATGCTGATAGTTCTTTTTGGACGTTCTATAAAATGGGATTCGAATAAGAAATGAATGACAGATGCTACCCTGCGCGCAGAGTCTAGTTAGAAACTGAAGACGAAGCTCTCTTTTAAGAAGCGAACGAATGCAAAGGGTAGACAGATACTTTAATACCGGCAGAAAATGTAGTGGTATTATGAATAGTACAATAACGTCATTTCAAAGGGCAATATAGTGAAATATTGGACCAAGGGCCGCAGGCCCAAGGTCCAATAGTTCACTATTTTGCCCGCAGAAATGACGTTATTACTATTATGACTGATTATTACCACCTTAATGACCAGGGCTGAAATAGCAAATTTGAAATAGAAAATCTTACGCACTGAACGATATCACTTTTCCCGGGAAACATAGCCGGGCGGATAATGTCATTATTGCCCGACTAAAGTCATTAACGCCCGACACAATATTGCTCACGTTAATATAGCAATTTAAATGCCTTCTCAACTAGTACTAAAACTCCTAGAACAGGCCCCGCAATGTGGTAATAATACACATTACGAAGGAGGTTCAATTAAAGAATTGTCTCTTATTCTTAGAGCGTTGGTAAATTTCAAATCAATGTATCGCAAGGTAGAATCTTAGGGAAAGCCCATCATATTATTGACTGGATTTCTGTTGTGGAGTTTCCTCTTCCGTTTGAACAATATTTTGGTTGTAGATTTTTAACAAACTCAAACGCATCCCAGATAAAAATCTGAAACTATAAGTTTACAATACCAAACATGCACTAAATCAAAGTGTATACATTTCTTGACGAATTGAATCGAAGTCAGTAATATGTTGTTCTTAATCATGGACTTAATCAAGGATTTTTACTTAAATATGATCTTAGATCACAATTCAATACTTTGTTGTTTCGGATAATTGATATAATTAATTTATACAATATCTAGGTAATTATAATTTTGTTCCTCTTCTGTTAGGAGGGGGAGAGCAGGTATTACGCATATTTGACTTCTTATGGCCTAAAATCGCATTCCTTGCCAATATCTAACAACTGCCCTTGCCTTCTTGCAACTTGAGTGATATATTGTACCCAGCTATTTTATGAAAAAAGTTCTCAGATTAGAAAACTGTATATAATATGATTAATTTGTGTTTTTATCAATACTGTGTTTATCTGAGAAGCACGTGTAAAGTATAATTTCATGTTCATCGTGTAATTCTAATGGTGTAGTTGTAGCAGGTGCGATTGGGTGTTTCCCATTTGAGTGAGTAACAGATGTCTCGTTTACCCTGACGTCTAGAGGCTTAAGAGGAAATTACTGTACTCTAGATGAAGGTCTCTTGATAAAAGCGAAATCAGATTATTGAAAAGGGTGAGAGGGAGTTAAGCAAAGAACTAAGAATCTTTAGGAGACCATAAACTTTTTTAGACCAATGGCCCTCGAGTAGATATATTATATTGGCAGGATTCCATATCCTGAACCTCATATAGGATAATCTATATGATATCTAGAAATTTTGTTGTCAAGTCCTTCAGGACTATATTGCTTTTTAACATATTTGCACGGAATGACGACTAGGGATGTAATTCGGTCGAGTTGGGTCTGCCTGCAGACAGGATGAACGAGTCATAGTACCCCGGGATGAGGCCCGAATGAATTTTGAACAGGTTCGAATTTTTGGAGCACATTTCAATCTAAACACATACACGAAATCCTTAAAACTTTTATAAAGCCTGAAGTAGCTCCAAAACACAACAATGAATGGATTTCATTCCCATCCATTGAAGATGTTTTTTATGATAGATTCGGTTGATTCACTTACACCATTCGAAACAATGTATTTATTCTCGGGTTATATATTTATTTAACTTATAAAAAATACGTGTGAAGTTCGAGTTCTATGGATACAATTGTTATTGTTAGTACCTCAGTTGAAATACTCGATTTTGATTGGTCAACGAGCGGTGAATAATTTTAACTGTACACCGCGCAATGCATTGCCGGTGAATAATATTCCCAGCATTCCACTAAAATGACGTCATTATCAGACGATAAAATGGCCGCCGCTAGCACTAGCCGTTTCAAAAATGTTGAAGGTGAGGATATTATTAGTCTCTTAGAGAGTAAAGACAGTCAAAATACGAAGAAAAATCTAAAACTTTGTACAAAGCTTTTAGTGGACTTCGCCCAGGAGAGTAATTTGACTCCATTGAGTGAACCAACTTCAAGTCAACTTCAAGGGTCAGAAAAATCTAAGATAGATCTATTCTTCGGACTAACAAAACAATTATAGACCTCTCTATTCGGTTTACTGTCAAAATTATATCCCGAGACTGTAACCTACGGTCTCGGTTTACAGTCTCGGGATATAATTTTGACAGTAAACCTCTGGAGAGGTCAATAATTGTATATTGTTCATTTGTTATTGTCCCGGGGTTATTGTATATACTGGAATCATAGGTGATGATACGGCTTGATAGAAAGAGTGCTCGTAAAAGATGGCAGGGCAGTCAACCTGTTCTTATATATTCAGATCACATATGAAATATATTCAGTATACTACTCACTGGCATGTAGCGGCCCTGATATCGATAAATTCTACACGCAATATAACCCGATTTTAGATGCTTGGTTAAAACTTTACACGAAAAAGCCTCGATATCCGGGCATTTACTCTTACACTGAACTGAAAATAGCATCGTCTAAACGTGTATGTCTTGGCTTCCGGGTAAGTTTATCAACATTTATACTCAATTGAAAGAGCAGTCGTGCTTATATCGTGTACCAGTTTGATTGTTTTATATGTGTGTGTATTTATAATATGATAGCCTAGTAATACCGTGTCGTTAGAACAAGTGCTAGATATCGAACTAATGACCTGAAATTAGATTATTGGACTGATCGCGCATCTGATATTAGATGATTAATTTGCATTGAATCTGATATTAACTTGCAACCCAATACCACAGTAAATACAATGACTTTACATTAGAATGATAACACGGCCTCATATTCTAATCCATTATACGTCCATTGCAGGCCAAAAATGTTTCAATGTGGATATTGTAATGAACACGAGAATACATTCGATTCGTATATATTGAACATGGAGATTTTCCTGTACACTTTTCCCAAACGTGGAATAGACTAGATGCGAGTAGAAATTATCTTGATTTATCCTATGCCAAGTAGGGTTTTAGGGAGATAAGTTGGTAAGATATATCCCGTATCCTGATTTTGAGGTTTCCATATCAAGAACCTCCATATCTCCCGTCATATCTCCCGCTTCGGTGCATATCTTCCCGCTTCGGGGCGTATCGATCCCGCTTCCAAAAAAGTGGAAATGCAATAAAATGACTTTGCATATGAATGATTTGTTTATTTTTTACACCTTGTACTACTGAAAACTCTACTTGGTATATGATAAAGCAGTTATGTACGGTCGGTTTGGATATTGGGTTCATCCCTCGTGAGATATGCACATCTACTTTCTGTCCCTACGGTCCCTCAGGTAGATATGCATATCTCCCTCTGGAAAAACCCCATATCCAAAACCTCCCAGTACATAACCCTTATTTATCCCATGGTTACAAGGATATAGATCGAATATCACGTGAAGATATAATTGATATGTGGATGAAGATATCATATTTTAGCAAACAATTCCCAAATCATCGAATATCACTTTTGAAACCATCGAATATCACTTTTTGAAAGGTGATATTCGATGGTTTCATGGATATCAATATCTTCACTCATTCGCTGCGCTCACTCGCGAAGATATCAATATCCACTCATGGATATAAGTGATATTTTTTCAGAGCCATAGGATATTCCTATATTATTCCATAGTTAGCATGATATCCATAGGATAACATGTCAAAATAAAAACGGTATTTTTTAAATCAGTGGTAAAATATGATATTTTTGGCAAATTTTCACTTAACCATAGCATACGGTGTTTTAGCCATGACATACATAGGGGTTATGCACTGGGAGGTTTTGGATACAGGGAATATCCCGAGGGATATACAATATATCTTCCCGAGGGACCGAAGGGACCAAGGGAAGATATATTGTATATCCCAAGGGTTATTTCCTGTATCCAAACCGACCGTGCATAACTGTAGGTATTCCATACCTGAAGAGGTTTGAAATAATAAGCATGTATCCCATATGCTCTGGTGTGTTTACTTGCAAAATATGTTATCATTTTCAAAAAAATTCAAATTGTTTCCATATTTGTTTTCAATTTTTTTCAAAAATGAAAAAAAAATCCCAAAATTTTTTTCACATTTTTTGCATAATTTTTTTCAGAATTATCAACATTTTTTCAAAATCTTTTTACACAATTTTTTTTCAAATTTTTATTTTCCAATTTTTTTTCCCGAATTTTTTTTTTCAACATTTTTTTTGAGCGGGACATACGATTTATATGTCCCGGAGCTCCGTTGGAGCGGGACATACGAAAAATATTTGCCCGGATATGGAATATATTCCCGGTTGATATGTCCCTGAAACCTCATCAGGTATGGAATACGGCGTCGTATGCCATGGTTTATGGATTTTTGCTACTTCAGACTCAAAACGAGGCTAAGTGTCAATATCGCCGTATCGTTTGGAAAATTCGTTTTAAATCACTTAATTCCCGACGATTCTGATGATGACTTTAACTATGGAATATAAAAAACATCCTATGATTTACTCGTGATATGATTTTAATCCACTCATGGATGTTGATATCTGCACTCTCTCGCTACGCTCACTCGTGCAGATATCATATCCATTCGTGGATAAAAATCATATCACTCATAAATCATAGGATATCCTCTATTTAAGATGTGATATTCGATAGTTTAAAAGTGATATTCGATGGTTTGTAAATTGTTTGCTAAAATATGATATCTTGATCCACATATCAAATATATCATCATGTGATATTCGATCTATATCCTCCTTACAACCATGGGATAAAGCTTTACGTCCCGCTCCAAGCGGGCAGATATAGTATATCTGCCCGCTACGTCATAATCGCCGCTTGCATATTTGTTCATAATTTGTAACGTTCGCGGAATGACTGTAAACGGCAATGGAGAAAACACAGACAATCAGGGTCTGTTTGATAGTTAAAAAAAGGGAAAGAGCATCCACTTAATCAATAAAAAATTCGAGAAAATAAATATGGGAATATTTGAGAGAACATGAAAATCCGCCCACGGCCAAGAAAACAAAACTGGACATGAATATTCTAAAATGTTTCCACGATTTAACAATGTGAACCAGATGACCAATATTGGTATGGGATAAACATATTATCCTATAGTCGGTTCAGGATATTGGGATTATCCCTTGGCCAATATATAGTGGTTATGCAATTGGAGGTTTTGGATACAGGGAATATCCCGAAGGATATACAATATATCTTCCCGAAGGACCAAGGGAAGATATATTTTATATCCCTCGGGATATTCCCTGTATCCAAAACCTCCAAGTGCATAACTGTTGTATATAGTTTAGCATGATATGTACTTCTTTCTGTAACTGGAATACGATTCTAATATACAAGCAGCACATACGTATTCCCGGGGAACCATAAATATTTTGTGTAGGGTGTGGACATTTTTCTTTTCATTTCTCTAAAATCAGATTATTCTCATAAAATTCATACAAAGTTGGGCCTAAGCCTCTATTTTCGTATTCTGCATGTTAAGATATTTATAATGTAAAACCTAAGAGATAAATTCAATGTCTTCAGTTGAGAATAAGTATAAGGTAAATGTGTGAATTCTGCTTGTTGTTGCACTATTTTTATAATAAACAAGGTTCGATACGCAACACTGAATAGACTGCAGTCATAGCTTAGTTGTAAAGAAAACAAAAGAAGTTGGGACGTGGTCATGCTTGAATACGATTTTGAATATATCGCCGTTTACATTTGTTGAAATCGGCCTGTATTAATTTCAACAGGTGATCGGTGTACAAGGGCATATATTTGAGTTATTGGTTTAACGATAAGTATGACCTATGACACGGGTAGTATCTAAAGCCCCGCTATGATTGAAAAGTCGCGAGCAAGTTCCCGCTGAAATCGCGAGCATAGTCCTGTTTATTTGTATCCCTTTGGAAAATGAACCAAAAGGATGAAAATACTTATTACCGTTCTTTGATACTCCAGCAAAACTTTGAAAACAGAAATATTTGACAAAAAATGACATGAAAAATGATTATTTTTTACTTGCATGAAGGAAAGGGGCGTCAACATGCACGTTTGCATAATTTACTGCTCATATATTACCTTTATCGTTAAAATAAAGGCAATAAATACGATTTACATACTCCATAATAAATATCGGATCAAGATGGTCTGTATTGATAAGTTACTGGACAATGACACCTGCCATGGGGGTCGAAATACATTATTAAAGGTGTTCCAGTGGCCCCGCTGAAAAAATGAGGAGGCCCCGCTGAAAACATGAGGAGACCCCGCTGAAAACACGAGCAAATTTCACGACTACCCGCTTCGATCACGAGGAAAGCTTCATCATTATTCCATGAATATAGTGAGCTTCTTTATATGAACGTACACGAATGTGCAAATAACGTATTAATGACAGTCACATAACATATCATTCTATGGCAACATCACAAATATTTCTTCTTCAACTTCAGGCAGTCTTATCCATCTGTCAGAGGCATGATCAAATTTTTATATGTAAATAGACTTTGTGCATTTCGGAGTTAAATGTACATTCTAGATAATTAACTATTCCAAGGATTATACTTCTGAGGACACATATATTTCATTGGTTTCTTTGTCCGACCGTTCATTCGTGCGTGCATTCGACCGACCGTTCGTTCGTGCGTGGGTTCGTCCGACGGTCTGTTCGTTCATGCGTGCGTTCATCCGACCATTCGTTCGTTCGTGCGTGCATCCGTTCGTGCGATTGTCCGTCCGTTTGTGTGCGCATGCGTTCGTCTGACCGTCCGTTTGTGCTTGCTTTCGTCTGACTGCCCTTTCGTTCGTGGGTTCGTCCGTCTAGCCGTCCGTTCGTCCGTGCGTGCTTTCGTTCAACCGTCCATTCATGCGTGCGTTCGTCTGTTCGTTCTTTTTGCGTTCGTTTGTGTGTTCGTTCGTGCGTGCGTTCATTCGTGCGTTCGTTTGTAACTACGTTCTTGCGTGCGTGGGTTCGATCTTTTGTAAACTGTTTTCTTCTATCTTTCCTTCATGCGTTCTTTTGGCCGCCTATCCGTCCGTTTGTTCATTCATTGTTTTTTCGGCTGTTCTTCTGTCCATCCGTGCGTTCTTTCCTCGTTCGTTTGTTCGTTTGCTGGTTTTCATCAAAATTTGTCTTTCCACTGCCATATGAAAGAATGTAAGTAATCAAGAAAGCAAGCAAGGACGTGAGGAAGTAAACAAGCAACGAAGTAAGTAATTGAGTTAGCAAGCAAGTAAAGAAGGAATGGAGGAAGTAAATCGAAGAAGTGAAGGTGGGAGTAATATAAGTAAGCAAGGAAGGAAAAAAGGAAGGAAGGAGGGGAGGAAAGAAGCAATGAAGGAAGGAAGGAAGCAAGGAAACGAGAAAGCGAGGAGAGAAGAAAGCGAGGAAGCAAGCAAGGAAGCAACTGAGGAAAAAGGAAGGAAGGAACCGAGGGAGCAAGGAAGGAACGATGCGAGTAAAGAATTGAGCAGGGAAGCTAGGAAGTAAGGAAGTGAGGAAGAAAAGAAGCCACGAAACAAAGAAGGAAGGAAACGAGGAAGCAAGGAAGGAAGGAAGCAAGCAAAGACGCAAGGAAAGGGAAAAAAGCAAGGAAGTAAGTAAGTAAGGAAGGAAGAAGGCGAGAATGCAAGGAAGCAAGGAGGGAAGAAAGCAAGGAAGAAATGAAGCGAGAAATGAAGGACACGAGGAAAGAATGAAGGAAACGAGGAAACAAGGAAGGAGGAAAGGAGGAAGTGAGGAAGGAAAGAAGCAAGGAAGGAAGGAGGGAAGTGAGGAAGGAAGGAAGCGATGAACAAGGAAAAAAGGAAGCGAGAAAGCAAGGAAGGAGGAAAGATGGAAGCGAGGAAGCAAGAGAGGAATGGAGCGAGAAAGGAAGGACGCGAGGAAAAAACGAAAGAAGCGAGGAAGCAGGGAATGAGGAAAGAAGGAAGCGAGGAAGGATGGAAGCAAGGAAGGAGGGAAGTGAGGAAGGAAGGAAGCGAGGAAGCAAGGAAAGAAGGAAGCGAGGAAGAAAGCGAGGAAGCAAGGAAGGACGCGAGGAAGCATGAAAGGAGGGAATGAAGCAAGGAAGGAAGGAAGAAAGGAAGGAAGTGAGGAAGATATTTGTGAAGGAAGCGAGGAAGCAAAGAAGGGGGAAAGAAGGGAGCGAGGAAGGAAAAAAGCAAGGAAGGAAAGAGGGAAACGAGGAAAGAAGGAAGCGAGGAAGCAAGGAAGGAATAAAGCGAGGAAGGAAGGAAGCGAGGAAGCAAGGTAGGAAGTGAGGAAGTAAAAAAAATTGCGAGGAAGGAAGGACGCGAGGAAGCAAAGAAGGAAGGAAGGAAACAAGGAAACGAGGAAAACGAGGAGGGAAGAAAGCGAGGAAGCAAGGAAGGAAGGAACTGAGGAAGTAAGAAAGGACGGAAGCGAGGGAACAAGGAAGGAACGATGCGCGGAAGCAAGGAAGGAAGGAACTGAGGAAGCAAGGAAGGAAGCAAGGAAGGGAACGAGGAAGAAAGGAAGCCAGGAAGCAAAGAAGGAAGGAAACGATGAATCAAGGAAGGAAGGAAGCAAGCAAAGACGCAAGAAAGAAAGGAAGGAAAAAAGTAAGGAAGGAAGTAAGTAAGGAAGAAGGCGAGAAAGCAAGGAAGCAAGGAGGGAAGGAAGCAAGGAAGGAATGAAGCGACAAAAGAACAACGCGAGGAAAGAATGAAGGAAACGAGGAAGCAAGGAAGGAGGAAAGAAGGAAGTGAGGAAGCAAGGAAGGGAGAATGCAAGCGAGGAAGGAAGGAATCGAGGAAGCAAGGAAAGAAGAAAGCAAGGAAGGAGTAGAGAAGGAAGCGAGGGAGGAAGCGAGGAAGCAAGGAAGGAATGAAGCAAAAAAGGAAGGACGCGAGGAAAAAACGAAGGAATCGAGGATGCAAGGAAGGAGGAAAAAAGGAAGCGAGGAAGGAAGGAAGCAAGGAATGAAAGAGGGAAGTGAGGAAGGAAGGAATCGAGGAAGGAAGGAAGCAAGGAAGAAAGCAAGCGAGGAAGCATGGAAGGAAGGAATGAAGCAAGGAAGGAAGGAGGAAAGGAAGTGAGGAAGAAATTTATGAAGAAAGCGAGGAAACAAAGAAGGAGGAAAGGGAGTGAGGAAGGAAAAAAGCATGGAAGGAAAGAGGGAAGCGAGGAAGGAAGGAAGCGAGGAAGCAAGGAAGGAAGCGAGGAAGCAAGGTTGGAAGGAAGCGAGTAAGGAAAGATGCGAGGACGGAAGGAAGCGAGGAAGCAAGGAAGGAAGGAAGCAAGAAAAGAAGAGGCGAGGAAGGAAGCGAGGAAGCAAGGAGGGAAGGAAGGAAGCGATGAAAGAGAGAGGCGAGGAAGCAAGGAAGGAATGAAGCGAGGAAGGAAGGAAGCAAGGTGGGAAGCAAGCGAGAAAGGAAAGATCCGAGGAAGGAAGGAAGCAAAGAAGGAAGGAAGCAAGAAAAGAAGAGGCGAGGAAGAAAGGAAGGTAGGAAGCGAGGAAGGAAAGAAGCAAGGAAGGAAGGAAGCCGGGAAGGAAGGAAGCGAGGAAGCAAGGAGGGAAAGAAGCAAGGAAGGGAGGAAGCAAGGAAAGGAGGAAGCAAGGAAGGAAGGATGCGAGGAAGGAAGTAAGCGAGGAAGCAAGGAAGTGAGGAAGCAAGGAAGGGAGGATGCAAGAAAGGAAGGAAGGAAGCAAGGATGGAAAGAAGGAAGCGAGGAAGGAAGGATGCAAGAATGCGAGGAAGCAAGGAAGGGAGGAAGGAAGCGAGGAGGGAAGCAAGGAAGGGAGCAAGAAAGAAAGGAGGGAAGTGAGGAAGGAAGGGAGGAAGCGAAGGAATGTAGTGAGGAAGCAAGGAAGGAATGAAGCAAGGAAGCAAAGAAGGAAGAAAGCGAGGAAGGAAGGAAGCAAGGATGGAAGGAAGCGAGGATGGAAGGAAGTGTCCGTTAATTTAAATGACCACCAATGTTCTTCTTGACCAATGTCCATTATTACTTAAAGTCTTTTATGATCAATGTCATTGGTGTCCCTTATTGGTAAACGGATCTAAAGTTCCTAAACATAAAGACCGAGACTTTATATAATTTTCATCTTCACTTTATTTTCTAGTTTCCAATTGTACAAAGTTCTACACAATTCCATTTCTTCAGATCTTAAACATTCCTCCACTTTCCAAACCCATCTTACTTTTCTTCTTGCCCTCGCCTAACTTTCTAACCTGATCGTATCATTCGTAATAGTCCTCCGAAGGAAGGATGTGAGGAAGCGAGGAAGGAAGCCAGGAAGCAAGGAAGGAAGCACAGAAGCAAGGAAGGGAGGAAGCGAGCAAGCAAGTAAGCAACAGGAGATTGATGTCGGAATAATATTCATAAACATTATTCTGACTAAATCTTTTTATGTTGACCTAAACGCACGCTTATTCGTGTATCTTACTGAATATCGACTTGTACTCAAAGATGGAACAGAGGGGACAGTTGCAATACAGAGAATACAGAATATTTCCTATGGACTATGTAGTAAGATCACACGATAAAAAACGTTATACAACGATTTGAAGCGCAACATAGGATATATTGTGCTCTCGATATGCTGTATTTCCAAATGATTTCATCTCGTGCCAATACAGAATTTTTTGAGCACAATATATCCTACATTGCACTTCAAATCATTCAATAACTTATATTACTTCAAATTATGAAAATGAGGTTAAATGTTTAACATTTCGTCCGATCTAATACTCATCACATTTCTCAGATGATCTTTCTTATTCTGTAAAATGGCATGGAAATATGATACTGCAGTTTTCCATAACAACGTATCATAATATGAACTATATTAACAGTTGTGTTTGCTGTTATTGAGAATTGTATTGACAAATAATGTATTCATCAAACTGGGTACAATAGTGGATCAAGGTGGGTACGACAGTGGGAGATTTTCAGGGTATAATCGGGATTCACTCCATTTTTGAGAGACACTTGCTCCTGTTTTCAGCGGGACCTCCTCATGTTTTCAGCGGGGCCTCCTCCTGATTTCAGCGGGATCTTTGCTTTATTGCTCCTGCTAGAAGCGGGGCCTTGAGGGATATGATAAAATTTAAATATAAAATGTTCTGTAAAGCTTTAGGAAGTGAAACTCGGTACATCTTTATTTCATATCACTATCGTTATTTCAACCACAGGACAACATCGTTCTTCACCAATAACGTATAGAAATATAAAGATAAAGATTCAAAATGATACTTTCTCTCTTCAATTGACAAATAACGAACCACAGAACGACCGTTCGTGATACATTTTTCCAGCAGTTGCTTTTTTAGTCTCAATACCATGTAATCATTGGGGAAAATTAAAAGAAAACGTTTTGTAAATCATACAATTCAAGAACACAAAAAAGAACCCATGACTTCTTTTTATTCCTCGCGATTTCAGCGGGAACTTGCTCGCGATTTTTAAATCATAGCGGGGCTTTAGATACTACCCGTGTATGAGTGGGTAATGTTTTACAAATGCATGAAACAAATACTCCAATGGCCTGCATAAACTATTACATTGAAATGATGGTCATTTGCTCTCTAACTTCCGCACCGCATACGTAACTTCGTAAGCCAAGACAGGACCGCTATAATCGCTACATGCCAGTGACTACTGCCATCTTTGGATAATTTGATAGACTAGTACAACATATACAACGAAATTCTTTTACTGAATCAATATATTTGACTCTCTATAAAAGTATGATTACAGGTAGATTACCCCGGGTTTAACATTTGCTTTCCTATGTATGATTCAGTTTATGCATTCCTACAGTATTTTGGTCTCTGCGTCGTTAGGGTTGCCAAACTTCTGGAGGGAGTGTTTAGCGGCACTTAAAAGGCAAACTGACGCTGTATACACCGCTTAATATATTTGAAATTCGGCAATTTCGCCAGGTTTTCAGTATCTATATAGCAATGAACGTTAGTTCAGTTCAGTAAGTTAGAGTTTTGAACATTCATATGGCCTTTTCTCATCTGTCCTTGACCGCAGAGCTTCAAGATCCAAATTATCTTTTTTCACGTGCGCTTCACTATTCTGAGAACCTGTGTTCTGTGGTGTCTCATACATATTGCTAGGTTCATTGTGCTCGAGCTTATCACGATTCTCCCGAAACATACCTTTCTTAAGGCAAGGGTCCAAAACGTGATATCCTCCGACAAAAAGCAAGAATGTAAACACAGATGAACCGAGCGCTATTGAACCCACTATCGTGAAATACCTGGACATATCATCAAGGCTATAGCGCCAGAGGAAGTTCCAGCAAATGCCACCAGACGTCCCTCCCGCCGCAACAATACCAGCGACGATTCCGACTCGCTGTGGCCAAACAAATGGAACTAATGCATAGCTCGTGCCCTCCGCATTTTGAACGCAAAGACTCCAAAGAACAAGTATAGAAACTGCAGCAGAAATAGTTTCCATATAGCCGAATATGATCATCAAACCTCCCTCCAAGACAAGGAATAGAAAATGGACCATAAGACGCCCGGACAAACTATAACGTTGAGCGACTAAATCAGAGAAAAAACCACCGGTGAAACGCGCAAAGATGTTCATGAGCCCAAAGATGGAAGTTATTAAACTAGCAGTCTCCGCATTAAGAATTGAGCATTCATAACCTGTTATGGTGGTGTTCGTAAATTGCGGATCTTTTGGATCGCATCCCGGTTCTTTGAATTTTCTCAATAGATACACGTTCATTATACTGTTTACCGATATTTCAACCCCAAAAGCGGCAGAATACTGTACAAATAGAATGACGATTGCCACAATTCTAAACGCAAAGTGTCCTCGAGAACATTCCTTTTCCTGATCAGTGAATGTCTCAGAAGAGGCAAGGTCAGATTTTATGTCTATAGATATCTCTGATGTTGACCCATTTAGCTGCGTTGGTACTTTTGTCTCGTCGCCTGCAAATATACATGCTTCAATTAATTTATAAAGATCATTTTGGCATACGACAGGTATTACAAATGTGTCAAAGACCAATATTTTATGACGGCTCCAAACAGTGATGGCAGATCTACTTATAATCTGTTTTAAAGAGGCAATTACATTTTGATGTCAACACTTACGTGTATTCTTATACATATAATATATTATACTCATAGCCGTAGGGACCGGGGGTTCGATGGGTTCGGACGAACCCCCGGTCGGGATTCCCCCTAAAAGATATTTGTGGAAAATTCATTGCAAACCAATAACATATATTCAATTTATATGACTAGTAGATAAAAATAGTAAATTTACACTTCTCTCCAAAAGATTGGCAACCTCAGGCACGGGGTGGGATTGTTTAATTTTGGGAAGACCCCGGAGCATCATGACATTATGCAAAGAAAAAATATCAATAAAAAGCTGCTCCATCTACAGTGAAATAAACCAACTGTCTTAATACTGATGAAAACACATTTTCTTTCAAATCTGTGCCCCTCCGTTTTGTTTTACTTCAAACAAAAAAATTCTTGCTAAGTCCCCGGGTCTGACAAGTCCTCAAAAGCAAATATTAAATAATAGAAACATTTTGAAATGAGTTATTATTAAAAGCATATGTATCATTTATAAACACAAGTATTTGATCGAATGGGTATTTATTATCCATCACTTTTTAAGAAAAAATAAATCGATTACGAAAAAAATCAGTTTTTCAGATGCACGTTCATCTCGGAGATCATTTTAAGATTAAAATGTTGCTGTTTCAGTGTATTAAGTATTTACTCTATTTTCAAGAATATCAAACTTTAGTGGATCGCGTTTATGACATTAATTATAATATGTTTAGCAAATAAATGGATTAAGGGAGGCAATTAGGTGAGTATATCTGTGGTACTAGATTACGTGCAGTGGAAAGTTCTGTCCAATAAAAAGGCCAGATGCAGTCATCTTTTGCTGAGGAAAGCAAAGGCGTAAGGAGGATTATATCAAATAAGTCTAGATTTATTATTTCAAATGAGTATTACATTCTCACAGTTAAGGGAAAAAGTTCATAATAAAAAATATTAAAAAATCACGTGGTGTACCAATATGCATTGCTTCCTGATAATCACTTTTTATTTTCTAAAAAACTGATCCACTGATAATCACCAGCGGATTAAAAAATTCAACAAAAGAGGTAAAAAATGGGAAAATTTGGAGGCATTGGAAGTGAAATCAAATTACATTTTAATCAATATTATAAGTATTTTCCCCGCAGGTTATGTAAATAAAAATTCAAATATAAAGAGGAGGCAGGGAGCTTAGGTTGCCAAACTTTTGGAGGGGAGTGTACTTGCCAGAAAGACGGAGGATTGGCCTATCACAAGTTTCAAATCGTGTGTCTAAAAAGATTTGGCAGCATTCTTGAATAAAATAATAAAACGTTAATTTCTCAAAAACAAATCAAAGTCTATAATGATTCACAAGTTCATCTAAAATGTTTTCATTTCTCAAAACATTCATGATTCTCGTCATTAATGATAAAAACAGCGGAACGGTGATAGAATGTTATATTTCATATGTAATACAATAATATTTGTCATCTGTCACTTTTATCGTCAATAGCAAATTGAGAGTATCCGTTCAGCCATTACGACTTTTATTGTGCGCCATGATTAAATAAGTATTACATTCTTCAAACATATTTGCTATGAATATACTAGTTTTCAGTAAATAACTGTAAGTTCATGAGGTATTACAAAATGAAATATCAAATAAAATTCTTTTGATTTGGATTCTTTTCAAAAATCATTTAAAAGTGTGGGAAAATAGCATGTGTCTGAATATCTTTGAATGAACTCTAAAGCATGAATTGGGAATGACGGTTTATCAATGGTAGCTCGTCAAAAATATGTTCCTTAGAGATATGTTATAATTTTCCATTAACAAAAGTTGGCTCAATGTATGCTAACCCTTGATTTGGATTCCATTGAACAATTAGACAAGTGCAGTAAAATTTAAATGTATGATTTTGCTACCAGATTTCAATATCTTTTCAGTAAAAGATTCACCAAAAACTATATCAACATAGAAAATCAAATTGTTGCCAAACTTTTGGAGGGATGAACATTGTATGTATGACAAATACAAAAAATGCTTTTTTGTGAGGTACACCGATGAAGGGAAAGATTTGTGGATACATAGAAAATCGAACCCCTGGTCACCATTTGCTGGCTACGCCACTGATACTTGACGTTATTTAGCATTTATTCACACACAGCTTGGTATGCATTTTTACCTTTTGACTTATATTGTCGTGTGTTTTCTAAAATGGTCGTAAGATTGCCCATAAGGTGGAAGGACAGGGTTACACAAAACGCTACCCTATAATTTTGGAATAACTTTCTCAAGTGTGATCTAATATTGGTGATATCTCTGTGTAGATAGAATGATCAATTAAGAATTGAATGGAGTTCAATTGCACTGCAGGTGACAGTCAAGATGTAAACATTGAATTGAATATAGCATGCACAGAATATTTGCATTTGTAAGTAAACTCAGATCAACAATGTAGATAGCAACAAAAATCTATAAATTGTTTTATTCGAGAATGCACAGTAACCGGAGAAGGATACATATGCATTTGTATATTGCTTTAGGGGATGGAAACTGGGACAATGGGATCAAAAACTGTCAATCGTAATTTGCGCCACACTTGCCAAGAGTCCATTCTTTAAAAACAATAGAAAAGATGTACTTTACTTTTGATAAAACCGTACATTTTTGAAAATAAACAACAGCTCATTCTCTGTTGGCTGTCTAATGCCTAGGTCACATTTGCTCCGATTCATCGGCCGGCGCCCAGCCGATTGAATAGCTTGTTCAGAATTGAACGTCAAATCTCAAAGGATTGGTATCGATATGGTGAACCTTTTGAACACACTTTTCTCTTTAACCAGTCATCAAAAAATTCTAAAAAATTTACACATCGTCAATATAATGGTCATCTTTTGAACGGTAACAATATAATTTGAAAAAATATATATACTTTTCCCTATATTGTTTTAAAAACACGTACATCAGATACTTCTTATGTTCTTGGTATCATATGTTCGGAATGAAATGAAACATATTTCCGAATCTCATTGGAACAAAACGACATAAACACAACGTGTTTAATTAGGTCTTTCAATATTGTAATAATACAGAGGAAATTTTGCTTGATTTCAAAAAAGTATCTTGTTGATAAAACAACGATTTGGGGGGTTTTGTTTTAATTTTTTGAATACTTTTTCTAAAATCAACCAAACTTTCCTTTGAATAACTATAATATTGAGAGGTCTGAGAAAATGTTGTTTAGGCTATTTTGTTCCAACAAAGTTCGGAAAGATATTTTATTTCATTCTCAAGAATTGGTAGAAGGAACAAAAACAATTGTATTAAAAAACAAAAAATGTTAACAAAACAGTTATATAAAATATATATTAATAATTTTCGCATTAAATTGTTGTCAATCAACCAACATTACATTAAGGACCGTGTTTTAACAGAATATTTTCAATAATTGGTTTAAGAGAAAAACATTGTTTAATTCAGTTCACCATATCGATACCTATCCTTTGAGGTCAGATGTGAATTCGTGAGAACTTGCACATGATTTTAAAAAAGTTTGGTCAATTTAAAGCAAGTTTAATTTAAATCAGTTTTGAACAAAATATTGCAATTGGCCGGGTGTCGACCGATGAATCGGGGCAAATGTGACCTAGGCATTTCATTAGTGAAATCAAAATATAAATAAAGTCGTACCAGTAGAGATATATGCCGGGTTGACTGTTCCGTTTTCGGTGTCAGCTTCATCTATATTTTTCAATGTGCCAAATTTCTTTCTTTTGTGCCATGGACCTTGAGGACAGTCATCAGAGTAGAACCAAAATATCACTGAACAAATGAGACACACTGCTGCAGGTATAACTAGTGATATTTTCCAAGCGTCTGAAATCTCCACTCCGGTCAGCAAGACAAGCCTTAAGAGCAGGGGCATTACGAGAAAGGCAACACCTCCTCCCAGGTTGCCCCAACCGCCCGCCAATGCATTGGCTCCCCCGACAATGTTAGAGCTGAACAGACTGGTTGTCCAAAACTGACATGGGACGAATGTGGCACCCAGGATGCCGATGAACAGTCTTATAACTATAAGTCCGGTTGCGGTAGATGTGAACCCTGCAAGCCCCAGTGGAATTCCCCCTGCGACTAGGAATATAGCCATGATGCGGCGTGGACCAAATCGATCGACCAACGGACCAGCTATGAGGCGCAAAGCGATCACAGAAGCGACACCTGCTATCGCTGAAAGTAAATGTTTCAATACTTTAGAAAAGGTATGACCTTAAATTGTGATCAGCCTCTTTTTCTTACACAAATAATTAGTTTTTGAATTAGACATATTAGATAGCCTACCCAATGAAGATCTTCAGTGAGTGACCACAAATTATTATAGCCTGGTTGTTGAGTCATATACAAAATAATACCTCTCTTTCAAAAATCCAAGATAACAACCAAACGAGTACTAAGTATAGTAAATGGAAGCACTCACCAGAATTAGCAACTTCTTCTTTTGTTAAATGCAAATCTTTCTGGATATGTGGTATTAATGGTTGAACACAAAACCAACCAAAAAAGGCGATGAAATACCCAAACCAGGAGGTGTGGAAACCTCGCATGTGCGGTCGTCTGCAACTAAATAACCAAAATTGCTTTGCCTTTCCGTAATCATCGCTACCGAGATTGTTCCTGTTTTGACATTTCGCCCAGCAACCATTTTCGTCCCTGGCATCCTCTCGAGCTTCTATGGATTTTTCATTAGTTTCTAAACTTGGCGAATCCATAATTGGGCGTCGTTTACGTACCAGACAATGTGTTTTCTGTCTTCGTCAAACTCTTTATAAACTTTTTATACGGATGAATATCAGTCAGTATTCATAAATCACAAAAATATACATGTCATAGAATAGGGAAAACTTATTGAATTTTAAAAGTGAGTTTTTATATTTTATTTCACTCTTTTCATTCATCAGCATCGTCATGGTTTCTCAATGATAACGTTATTCGCGTAAGGTATTATCAATGCATCTACCAATTGTATAGTTTCTAAATAGCTGAATAACGCTGATATAATAGATGTCACCCTTGTTTGTCTTTGATTTTCTTGGGCCAGACCTCCATTAACTTCAATGATAGAAACTTGCAATACATGTAGTCACTTAATTACATGATTTATCAAAATATTGGTTGAATCTATCTGAAACTCGAATGGCATACTATCAGATGACCCTGTCAATGTACATATTGTGATTAAACATGAAAATGTTGGTTATCATACGAATCATTGAATTTTAGCATTGCACCAATGGAGATTTGGCCCAAGTTTTTTTAGAATGTCATGGAGAATGATTAAAATGACATAACTGTGTAAATCAAAGCTATTATTGGAGAAAATTAATGTCACTGAATTCAAATATGCTATCAAAATAAGTCATTCGAGGTAAAAATGGCAAATCTCTTAAAATCACATGAAAAAACGAGAATTGGATTTCATAGCTATTTAGAAACTCCTCTATTGGCCTACTTTCCTACTGGCCTACTTTCATAATTATATCTCTATATACAGATATATAGTTTTGTATATGGCATTTCCAAATCACCTCACTTTTTTAGCCATTTCCCTCACTTTGTCGGACTTTCATAGGTTTCTATTTAGAGTTGAAAAACGTTTACATGGTATTTCCAAAACATCATACTTTATCCATTTCTGAACCTTGTTCCGCTATTTTACTACTGGCGTCCTTTTAGCCTATATTTCGTTGTTACATATGTATGTCCCATGAACATCGTTTTAGCTTTATTTTGTTACATATGTCTCATACATCGTTTTTCCAAATGCCTCAGAATGCAGACGTTTCTTTATATTCTATCTAAAGTTTTCACACAATGGTTAGCTAATGATATCCTTATTGTATACACTGCATGATGATCGTATTTGTTTAACAATGTAAATGTATTGTGAGCGTGTATCGTTAAATTGTTAAATATGTAGATACTTTACAATGTACATCTCCCCGCGGGCTGCAATTCAATTTTACTCGAGAAAAGGCGAAGTTAAGAAATCTTTACAAAGGTATTATGCACGTTTCCAACGATTAATTTGGTTTTAAGAAAAAATACAATATGCTAAGATACGACGTCAGATACTGTACATCACGGCGTAACATTCTTTGTTCATTTTACCGACAAAATGCAAAGATTTACGCGATAAATATGCGCAATGCTCCTCCAAGTAATTGCAAACGTTTAAGTTTTGTTCAGATTAATGTCAATACAATTCTATATTCAAAAAGGTTGTGTCACGATATACAGAATTAGAATCACCAGGAAGTAGACATTTCAAACCCTACACGTTTTCTTCTTTGTCGCGCTTTTCGGCCCTGCGCTCTCGTTGTCGCACCGGTCTTTCTAGACTCTTTCACAATGCCCCGTGTCATATTCAACTGATAAGCACAGACGGGAAGATATTAAGGATTGTTAAATGCATTATTTGTAAATTATTTTAACTCGAATATTTAGTTTTATTTATTTAAAGCAATGAATAATAAAGGAGAACATATAATACGCTAACGGCGTAACGTCTTATTTTGTAAAGGCTTCACTTGGGGTTGCGGTGATAAAACGATGTCTATCTCAATATATACTGGTTCAAATTAAATGAAATTAATTGTATCTAGTAAGGGGTATATTTAAAAGAACATGCTGAAACATTGGAAAGTTTTGAATGTTTATCCCTTGATTAGAAATATTTGAACTCAAAAAATGAAACGTATTTTTGTGAATTTTTCACATGGCTTCACTTCATATTTCTTTCAATTTATACTTCTTACAGACTGAATTTTAATCGAAATGATATAGTTTTTTGGGTAGAGATTAAAAGGTGGATTGGATCGAGTGGATTGGATTCATGTAAAAGGTGGATTGGATCGGGAATCTTCAAAATGTGGAATTTCTTTTCTAAACAATTTCCCTCTACAGTATTACAGGTCCCTTTTGAGAAATCAGAACAAAGCAATGACAAATACATACTCCAATTTATTAGTTCATGGACACTCTTAAGTATTTAACCGCTTTCCCTTGTAAATCAACTTTTGTAAGACATAGATCTTTAGAAAAAGAAAACCTGTCATTCAAATTAATTTGTGAATGTTCACAAAACATTTCTGGTATGTTCAGTTTGGATTGAAAACAGATGTTATGGATCTTCAAACCAGTCTGCCTTATGATTTATGAAATGTCTCAAATTACACTTGGAATGAATAAGATCGTGTATCAGAAAGCGGGTACCAGGTCATCCTTCTAGCCCACCCAAGCAAAATAATATTACATCTATAATTTGACATTGTGCAAGTGAAGAGAGCACCAATCTTCCTAAAGGGAGTTCAATAGAATTTTTTATAGGAAAATCCATATTTTGAAGATAGCCAATCCAATCCACCTTTTACATGAATCCAATTCACTCAATCCAATCCGCCTTTTAATCTTTACCGTTTTTGATAAAAATATAGAATATGATATGCCTTTCAGGAATCAAAAAAGAATAATTCACCTTTCAAACGATTTAATGTTTAATTGATCAAAATATATATCTTGTTGGTACGAAATTCTGCCTGTCGACACTTTTTTGCATAAATATAAGCGTTAAGTTAGCATTGCTATATTATGACGTCATCACACAGAATCTATTTGTCTTATCCAAAATGGTGAATTTAAATATTGTAAAAATTTGAGAAAGATCCGTTGGGAAATGAAAAAGTTATCTTCATTTTTCGTTTAAAATTAAAATCACTTTTCTTCAAAATGTTACAGTCGACACCCGGTTTTAGCATAGAAAGTCGCATAATACGGCTTGCGTGATTCTCATTTAAAAAGTCCCAAATCAGTTATTTGGAATTCTGATAGGCAAAATATTTCATGGACATACGTGTTCAACTGATGACGAAAAATTGTAGAAAAATATGATTTTGCTGTCGAGATATTGCGGTTTTAAAAGTAAGTACGCATTAAAAAGGTAAAGATTAAAAGGTGGATTGGATCGAGTGGATTGGATTCATGTAAAAGGTGGATTGGATTGGCTATCTTCAAAATATGGATTTTCCTATAAAAAATTATATTGATCTCCCTTTAGGAAGATTGGTGCTCTCTTCACTTGCAAAATGTCAAATTATAGATGTAATATTATTTTGCTTGGGTGGGCTAGAAGGATGACCTGGTACCCGCTTTCTGATACACGATCTTATTCATTCCAAGTGTAATTTGAGACATTTCAAAAATCATAAGGCAGACTGGTTTGAAGATCCATAACATCTGTTTTCAATCCAAACTGAACATACCAGAAATGTTTTGTGAACATTCACAAATTAATTTGAATGACAGGTTTTCTTTTTCCAAAGATCTATGTCTTACAAAAGTTGATTTACAAGGGAAAGCGGTTAAATACTTAAGAGTGTCCATGAACTAATTGGAGTATGTATTTGTCATTGCTTTGTTCTGATTTCTCAAAAGGGACTTGTAATACTGTAGAGGGAAATTGTTTGGAGGGAGATCAACAGAAATGTTTTTATAAGAAATTCCACATTTTGAAGATTCCCGATCCAATCCACCTTTTACATGAATCCAATCCACTCGATCCAATCCACCTTTTAATCTCTACCATTAAAAATGGAGTAAAATGCAGCGATGTACAGTATCTGACGTCGTATCTAAATAATTGTCATGTTCTCGTGAAGCTACTCTGGATCTTCGTATGTTAACAAGGCATTGAAATGCATTGTCACCACCTACCATTTGTTACAGAAGCCGAACGCCGACCACCGGACGCCATCACAAAAAGTCAGAGACTATAACGATATGTCACCACTTAAGATGACTAAAACCAACTTGAAGATTAAATAGAGGTATCACTTTCATGATTATATTCAATGATTGATTTGTGTTACGTTCGATATAACAACTATCGCACAATATACTCTTTATCATATTTCTTTATTATATTTTTATATATGAACAGCACCTGCCACATAGACTTCAATATAGATTACATGTATAAAAGTATTATATATCACATCTTACATATTTTAATTTTCTTAATTGAAATATAAAATCAAATGAATACATTGAGTTTTTCATATCTTTTGATGACCACCTACCCTTTTACACCGGCATGGCCAAGACCTATAGCTATAGAAAAGGCAATGTATATGTCTTATTCATGTGTTTAAACATTTAAACATGGTGACATGAAAATCACAATTTCAAACATCCTCACTGTCCTTTATGTCCTAATATATATGTACTGTTTTGATACAGTATCGTAGTATTCATGGTATACGTAGGCCTTTATGATAAACCAAAAAATCGATTACAAGCTGCATCTTGCTTTGTGGGACAGGTTGAAATATCGATGTCTATATTTTGTTTTGGGAAACTAATTATATAGACGAAGACTCTCCATATACCTCCATCATCAAACATTGTTAAACCTCACCGATGTTAAATGTAACATTGATATACTAGATCTGGCACTTACTACAAGAGGTGGCCACTGTATAAATCCTTAAATGTTGAACATGCTGTGAAAATTCATTTAAATGAAAAATAGAAAAACTAGCGAGATCTCAAAATTTTATGATCGCCCCTCGTATATACATCACCCTTGTCACAACACTGTTAAATTACCCTATTTAAATTTGTTGAAGTATTCTAAGCTAAATATGTCATATGTCATGTAACCTCAACACCTACAGAGATTAACAGCAAAGGAGTATGTTACATTTGTAGCAGTCTTTTGAATAAACATAGAGTATATTATTAGGCTAGTTAATATCTGATAATGAGACATCTAATCAGTAGAGAAATCATGCTGAAGACCTTACATTCAGCATGTACCAAATGATCATGGAAAGGGAGGCCCATCCTTTCCAGAACTACATTGCCAAATAATCTGAAAAACAATAGCTGTCCAATAAAGACAAAACCTTTCAGGCATGTCAAAGAATTGTAAATAAAATACTGACAAAAAATGTAAGTCACCCTAATCTCTCATTTTCTGCCCATCTAAGTTTAGGGGCTATAATTGCACTCATCCACAGTTAAATGCAGACTGAAATACCCTTTCAAAATAAAGAATATTTTTATAAAGCATGTTATCAACTTCATAATCTTTATTAACAATGCAGTGAATTAAACCATGACTCTTTACCCTGAATAAACCGGATACAGTTTATAATAATGAATGAGTGGTTTTACGCTGAATAAATTCTACAACTGGTAAATATAAAAAAAGTGATTTCATGGTGTTGAAACAGACCATAGCAGGCCAGCAAAGGGTCACAATAAGAAATCCTCTAAATCATACATCAAAGAAGAAAAACATTCAATTTGGGTGACCAGGTTGACTCATATAAAGAATATTTCCCTGAGAATATTCCAGGTAACTAAAATAATATAACAACAGTATAAAAACAATTTTCTCTTTGGTAACTGAATAAAATCGAAACCTTTTCAGTCAAACTTTTTTGGTGTGTAATATACCAAACATCAATGCATACCCAAACCCAATCATGCAAAAAGCTGAACTGAAATGTGGTGTGAAATGAAGTTTGTACCGAGAATGGGCTTCACTTAAAAATGCCTTTTAGTTAATTTTCAAAAACTGACCTATATGTTTCAAAAGTCAAACGCCTGAACCCCTCTCCCCGGTCAAATTCAACCATGTTAATGATTATTCAAACTGCATTTCGAACTACTCAGTCTCTAAAAAATACCTTTACAGATCTGTTGGAACCCTGTTATTTGGGGGAGAGGGACTATGTCAAAATGAAATGAATTTGCTTTATATGATGGTTTAGAGTGCATTGATGTTATGATATCACCCCTCAGTCTTGCACAAGTCTCTATGTAAAATACAAATAAACTTTTTTCATATTATAATATCATATTTACACACATCTAACATTCTTCTCTTTTAATCCTAGCCTAACAATGTAACACTTGACATTCTTCTTTTACATTCTAATCTAATTTCATAAATCTGTAAATCTAAACTATGTGACATTAAACATTGTTCTTTTATATTAAATCTAATAAATCTTTACAAATATTTAACATCATACTTTCATTTTATATATTTCATATATTAATATATCGGGTGTCCCAAAAAACGTCACACTTTTTGACTAGCAATATCTCAGCTCCTTCGCACTGAAATCAATAAAATTGAGTTATTATTGAGATCAGGATATTTTGTATTGATGGTCAAAAAATCAAAAAAATCCACCTCATATCTTGATGTACTGCCCAGAACAAAAAAGCATGTTGAAAAATGCAATATCAGTGTTGCGTCATCTGAGAAGTGCATTGTGCACCCAGTAATAACAGGCAAAATGCTTATGCAGGTCAGATGCTAAGTGTTGTATGGTTGCCAAGGTGATGAAATTGTTGTCAGTATTGACCTTGCAGAAGTTGACAATCAGCGTCAACCTATTTGAGTCAACTAGATTCATTCCAAAGTGTCATTTGGAAAAGAGCAATCATGGTTTTCAGTGATGGAGATTAAGCTACCATTGAAAATTGTTTCAAGGAAAAAGGCTGGGGACTCTTTGGAGAAAAGTGTACCATGGACATAATGACAAGTTCAAAGAGCAGAAATTAAAGGACGGGATTTTTGCTTCCCCAGGGAGTAAATCACTTTAGATGAAATTCCCAAGAGCATACCAGGATCCAATAGTAGTGGAAGAGGATTGAACACAGGCTGAAATACGAAAGTTCCCCCTGATATTGTATTTTTTGACTTGCATTTGTGTATTGAGCAATTTTCACAGGATTTATATCAGATCGCTTTGATATTTTCAGTGCTTACTGCAAACAGCCTAACGTTGGTCCCTGAGAATTTTCAAAGAATTTTGTTATAAAATAACTGAAATATTACAAGTCAAAAAGTGTGACGTTTTTTGGGACACCCGATATATAGATAGAATTTAAATACATGTATGTTAAATTGTTATGTATATACTCTCACAGTGGCCATGCATTTAAATGCAACAATATTTGGAAGTTTGAAAAATAATGTATTGAGACTAGAGACAGTAAGGGTAATGAATTCTTCCCTCAAGTTGCATAGAAATGCAATATAAGCATGGCCACTGTGTAACATTTAAAGCACAGCTAGAACCCGCATGTACATTTACAGGGTGTCTCAAATGTATATTTTCGTATTATAGAATATATTGCTTTCATTCCTGTATGTCCTATCATCAATACTCATGAAGAGGGGGATTACCCAGAATTCAAAGAAGAATTTATCTTTGTGTAAAGATGAACCTCTCATTCAGCTTAACATGCAGATATGTTCATCTATAAATTCTGGGTTATTTCCTCTTCTTCACCTCATGCTAGTCCTGCATCAAGTTCCCTCAGGCACACTGTCCCCTAATACCCATATGAACTCCCCATATGTACCATATGTATTTCCTCCCTATTTGAGACGGTATACATTCATTCATTCTCCATCATAACATTCTGTGTGTACTCTATTTCCAACCAATTACAGTGTATTTTTGCCAATATAAAAAGTTGATAAAATACGAACTGCATGATGCATTTGCAATCTCAGTTAATGACACCTATTTTAATATATCCCCATATGAATCCCACTCAACTACATTCTTTGTGTATTATCCAAAAATAAAAAGATGATAAAATATGAACTGCATGATGCATTTGCAATCTCAGTCAATGACACCTATTCTAATATATCCCCAAATGAATCGCCACTCTACTACATTCTTTGTGTATTATCCAAATATAAAAAGATGATAAAACATGAACTGCATGATGCATTTGCGATCTCAGTCAATGACACCTATTTTAATATATCCCCAAATGAATCGCCACTCTACTACATTCTTTGTGTATTATCCAAATATAAAAAGATGATAAAATATGAACTGCATGATGCATTTGCAATCTCAGTCAATGACACATATTTTAATATATCGCCAAATGAATCGCCACTCTACTACATTCTTTGTGTATTATCCAAATATAAAAAGATGATAAAATACGAACTGCATGATGCATTTGCAATCTCAGTCAATGACACCTATTTTAATATATCGCCAAATGAATCGCCACTCTACTACATTCTTTGTGTATTATCAAAATATAAAAAGATGATAAAATATGAACTGTATGATGCATTTGCAATCTCAGTCAATGACACCTATTTTAATATATCCCCAAATGAATCGCCACTCTACTACATTCTTTGTGTATTATCCAAATATAAAAAGATGATAAAATACAAACTGCATGATGCATTTGCAATCTCAGTCAATGACACCTATTTTAATATATCCCCAAATGAATCGCCACTCTACTACATTCTTTGTGTATTATCCAAATATAAAAAGATGATAAAATACAAACTGCATGATGCATTTGCAATCTCAGTCAATAACACCTATTTTAATATATCCCCAAATGAATCGCCACTCTACTACATTCTTTGTGTATTATCCAAATATAAAAAGATGATAAAATACAAACTGCATGATGCATTTGCAATCTTAGTCAATGACATCTATTTTAATATATCGCCAAGTGAATCTTTATACTATTACACATAAAAAGATGAAAACCTGATAAAAAAAACTAACTAAATGATGCATTTGCAATCTCAGTCAATGACACCTTTTTCTTCAATAAATTGCCAAAGGAATCTTCAGCGAGTACAGTGAACTCCTTCAAACTGTGTTGTGAGGATAGTCCAGCTATTTCTACAGCCTTCAGCTTGAATGTGATTGGTGGAATGCCAGAGAGGAACTCCCAATGATGAAAGACCATACCATCGGGTACAGTACGCAGTTCAATAACTCGCAAACCTGAGCTAGAATGCAGCATATCCCTGAAACAAACAGTTTTTATGTCACTTTTTATCATTTTATATCATAATCTTTGTTTATACAATGTCTACTTCTACTGCTACATTTATTTTTATCATTTCTTTTCAAAATTGCATATTTAGAAAACATAAGTCACATAGTTCATATGAACAAAATCACAGCATTTGAAGTTTCAATAGCAGACCAGATATACAAGGGACAATGTCAATAGTTAAAGGTTACATGTATGTGATGTGAAATATGCCAATGAGTTCTGTCCATATAGGCAATAATGAAGGCAAATTTTCACTTCATAGTGACATAACTGATGGTATAACATACCTTTATTCCAATGGCTATTTTGTATCAATGATGTCACACATCTGTGTACAAGTAAAATTTGGTAGAAATGAAACATGATGTCATAATATTGTCATGGTTATTAAGGAAAGCGGACTATACCGCCTGTATTGCCCTCCTACTTTTCCATAGACTCTCATACAAATGCTTCGCTAGGTGTGTAATACACATCCATATAGCCAGCTTTACATTTTAACAATGAAAACCTAATCGCAGATGCACAGATATGTGTCTCAAAGTAGCCATGAGAATTAAGGTACATGTACATGTAAATCACCTGTTAAGTGACTACGATATAAAATACGCCTTCATTTTTGACAACATATTAGCCTACCAAGGTCAATCTTTATTGGCAGAACTCAGTGGCATACTTCCCGTTGTAATTACAAACATGCAACCTCTAAAATCTAAATAGTGACACTTTACCTTGCCCTACGAGTTGTTCAAAGTAGAATGGATTCTTTTTAGAAATAAGAATATCTTGAATATCAGTGATGTTATAATACAAAGCTTACCCCTGAAATGTTGGCACTTTATCAGGATCATCAGGGTGGGGAGGATTCAACCACCTGCAATAAAAAATAAAATATAAAAGACAAAATAACACAATAACTATAGCTTTAGTTTTACAACAAATGAATTGTATGTAAAGAAGTCTGGTATATTTAAGACAGCTATGATTTTGGCACACAAATCTGCAATAGTTATGAAGATTTTAAGAGGGCATAATTATTGACAAAAAATCACCACCTGGTAAGCAAATGGTGAGACATATGAAGCAATTTGCTAATAAAACCATGGCCAATTGCTGATATCAGACACTGAACATCAGTCACTAAAAAGGCTGGCTTTAAAAATATGCCACAACCTGACTTATAAAGCAAAATACAATGGCAGCACAATGACTTAAAGACTAATATAAAGGGTGTCCCGAAAGTATGCCCCCCCCCCCTAGGCAGACATATTCCAGTGTCCTCATAGTATGTCTCATATATCATTTTAAAGCTTATCCAAAGTTACATTGATCTGCCAAGTATCATGGTTTAACTCCCAAGTGGGAAAAAGTTATAGTCATTTTAAAAGTTAGTGTTTTGTCAAAATAAAGTCCAATTTTACTCCACATTACTAGTCAATGAGTCCCCCCTTGGCCATGTTAGCAGCACCAATTATTTTCAGATATGACCTTAAAAGCCCTTCAAATAGGGGTGTGGAATTTTATAACCCTCTTAAAACCTGTTAAGGCACTTTAGAAGAGTTTCCTTAGAGTTTCTACCCTCACCATTCTCTTTTTCCAACTCAATATCCATCCGACCCGAAAAGAATTGCTGCTGTTACGATGGCCCGGAAGGACACATTGACTAGTGATTTGGTGTAAAATTGAACTTCATTTTAACCGAACACTAAATTTTGAAATGCCTGTAATTTTTTCACATTTGAGAGTTGAACCATGATACTTGGTGAATCAATGTAACTTTGTGTGAGCTTTAAAATGATATATGATACATACTATGACGACACTGGTATATGTCTGCCTAGGGGGGAACATACTTTCGGGACACCCTGTAGTACATGTTGTGCTGTTTATGGGACATACTTATGATAAGCAAGAACTACTGCCGATGACCTATACCAGTGTGCCCCACCATCTTCATGAGATGGGTCAATCTTGGATGTCATACACACAGTGCCCTCTGGTGGTGTTTTAGGCAACATGGCTGGCCGTGGTGATGGAGAACTTGCTCGACTTGATGAAGGTGAACTAGAAACTGATTCTACAATAACAAAACATGAACTATCTAAATATAAAAGTGGAAAAGTGTTAACTATTGGAAGCAATGGAAATTACTAAGGGTTTAGAATTGTCTAAGTTCATTGGAACTAATATAGGGCATACATCTCCAAAATCATTACCATGCTGGATAATCAAAGAATTATTCCAAAATAAAGTCATTTACTGTTAACATATTACGAAAATAGACATGATACAGAATGCAAAAGATTTTAGAAGCTAATCTCATCACTAGTACCTTTGTATTTCCTGCCCTTTGAAGAAATGTGATTGCATATGAAAACTGTATTTACACTGATCACTCAATTAGTATATTCTATGAATTTATACTGAGAAGATGAATCTGAAATATTATTCTTAGAACAGTTTTCTGAAAGATGTTTTGAACGACTTAACTTATATTAATTAAAGTGGCAGTAAAGAATATTGAGAGTGTAAAATGTCCGAACCAATCTAAAATTGATGTATTTTACTTTAGCAAAATTATGTTAAAGGAGGAGGGTCTATTGATATACGATTGCTACCTCAAAATAATATGACATACAATGTGACCATGAATAAATTACAAAAGACACTTGGCCTATTCGACAATATACAAAGACTAACTGTCAAGAGAGAAATAGTGCAAAATAATGACAATTTGTCAATCGGCAGGATTATCCAAAGTGAATCTTTTGCAATATTTCCCCCAAAAGTCATGTGACCATAAATAAGCTAATGAACAGCCAGATATCATACAATACAACATACTTGATTGACCAATGGAGGTGCGCCTAATTTGAGATGTAGAAACATGGCCACAAGGAAACACCTTTGTCTCAGTGACCATTTCCCCTCCACTCAGTTCCTTGGACACTGTTTTACGCACTTCACTCCCATCATATTCCCGTATTGTCATGGTTTCCCGTTGCTCTGTTGACAGACGGAGGAACCCGGTCTGTACTTGAACGATAAGTGGTGGTGGTTTTGTTGTTAATTTCACTTCTAGTCTCTGGAATGCAAATAAAGGAAAGCTACTCCAAGATTTTAATATTTAAGGGAGCATTTCAAAAGATTGATATCATAAAATTAATTTTATTTGAACAGTTATGGAGGAGGGGGTAATTAGCCTTTAAAGAAACTTTCCGACATTGTTCCCAGGAATTTCATTTGAGCAAATTTTGTTGGATATAAACTAAGGATTCTACAGTGAGATTCAATTTTTGAATGTAGATGTCCAGGATACTCTTTAAATATAACCATAATGTAATATGGAATACTAAACTATATCACATATAAAATTGTTAAGAATTTGCAACAAATATTCAATAAGGGTTATTTTACATAATGGTACTGGGAGTGAGGTTTTAAATACATTTGTAAAATGCAGATATACAACAGGCATCTTAATAAAAATAAAATACATTGTAGCTCCTTCCCTAATGAAATTTTCTTTGTACTTTCACTGTTGACATTTTGACACACTCCCTAAGTGCAGGGGTAAGAATTTCTCACGACAGACTTTAAATGAAAACAACAGGTAAAATTAATGGAAATCATAGATTTAATATGGAAAAGTTGAAAAATCCCTGAAAAACAACAGGCGATTTTGTGAAAACAAACTGGTGAATATTGCATGTTGCCTGCTGCTAATGAAACCCCTGTAAAAGTTCTTGATCATTATAACTCATTTCATAAAATTCCTGACATGCTCTTTTTAAAATAACAATGGATTTATAAAGGTAATGATAAAAAGAAGTGTTTACCTGTCTAACTGGGCTGCTACAGGGAGTTATCCTCCGAGGACTACTACATGGTGTCAGATGTGGTGTAGAAGTTGGCACAATAAACACTCGATAGAGATCATCAAACCCTCGGGCCATAATTCCTGAGGGGTTATGGGCCAGGTCAAAGGTATGCCCAAGCTCATGGAGAGAGGAACCGAGGCCAGTGGAATAGTTAGCCCAGTAGTAGCCCCTAAGGATAAAATGTATGGAGATTATCATATAATATACTTAATTATGATGAGGATGGTTAAATGTATGGTCCAAAACTATGCTCTAGCTCATTAAGAGAGGAGCCAAGGCCAGTGGAGTAGTTAGACCAGTAATATCTTGAAGTTAAGGCAGTGTTCTCCGCTCATTGAAATCACTGAGGTGCAGACCACCTCCATGTTTTTTCATAAAACCAGAAGGCTCATCAATTCAATTCAATGTGCCCCCCAAAATATTACAAAAAGGCAATCCAAAAATTAAAATGTTGCACAAAAATTTCAAATGTAACATGAAAAATTACAAAATCATAAAATTTTGCAAAATAAGTTACAAAAGTCTGAAATGTTGCATGAAAAGAAATCTTCCACACAAAAACATCCTGGGGAGAGCGCTTTAAGGTATTAATGGAGATAACCATTTTCAGTTTTGAAATGACAAAGAATCATTACAAAGGTACAAGAAATTATCCAGTTAAAATCATACTTTCTGAATGATGTCTATAAATCAATACACTTTTACTAATTACCCAGTGGAAGTTCCAATACATCACATTTTCTTCTGGGAAATCATGCAGATTAATAGCTTAATACTATCTATGTTATGATCAATAGTACCTCTGCTACAAAGCATTATTAAGCTTGCTGTGGATTGTTGCTTTTTAATGTCACTATATGGTATGGTTTTTACAAATATAAAACTAACAAGGCAATAGCATGCAAAATGTCACCACCTGTCATTTGTTACAGATGCCAACTGCGGGATTCCGAACATTGAACACCAATGGCCAAACACCATCCAGAAAAAAGTTGGAGTCTATAACAAAATGACACCACTTCTGTTGGTGACATAACGTGAGGTCATATCTTTTGAAGAATGATATACAAGGGTTTACCTTTGAAACCATTTTGATGATTCCTGTATCATACTATCTAAATATGATGTTCAATTTAGTAAATAACCCCATCATAGATGTGAATATGTGCAGATTGAGTAAGAATTGTCAAACAGGGCACTCTTAACATCTGACTGCCAGTCATGTCTAATAGAATAATGAGAGGGCCAGTTACTTTAAACATGTCGGACATATTATGTGTTAGTCAATCAAAAGGTTATGCCTTTTGGATCCTCTATGGGGTTCTCTGGGCGTCCTCACACACAGAAATTATGTAAGAACATTATTATTGCAATGTCATAATAATAAACATGCTATAAGTGAGTTGTGAAATCTCTCTATTATCTATGCCTCCAAAAAAGTACTGTTCATATATTTATAAGTAAAATGGTGAGTTTTTTACTTCATTTGAACGTTGATATGAATTCTTTACCTGTAAGCACTATCATCCATGAGTTTAGTCTTATCAATCTTCTTGTTGTTTGTGAAGCACTTCGTGAGATGTTCTAGCTTGTGTGCCCAGGTGTGCATTGTGGCTGTTCCAAACAGTGCCAACCCTCCTCCACCTGAATAACAGCAGACAGCACATATGGTGAAATTTTAAATCGCAAATCTGTGCTAATTTATTTCAACACTCATTTTTATTAGGGATATCAGCAATTGGACCTGTGACACCATATTCTTTGTTGATTTGCAGACTGAAGTGCAACTTAAAATATGAAAACCATATTCATCAATTATTGGTGATCGTAATCTTAAAATCCTAAACACAGATCTACCTTAAACACCTTAAAATGATTTACAATAACTTACCCAAGGCAGCATAGGCTTTGGTGCATTTGATGATTTCTGAATGTGATGTGGGAATGATGCCAGATGATGGTGGTGTATAACGAGTGAATGACATAAATGCAAACCATTTATAATTCTCCTTATTAGGGAATCCTAAAACAAAGGAATTAACATTGTAAATAAACTTCAATATGGAAATACAGGACCACATAAAATGCCATTTTTATGTAAGTTCATTAAATAATCACACCTTTGGAATACACTAAACTTGTGCAAAAGAGCACAATAAGGTGGGCTCATATGGTGCAAAAGGGTGAATCCGGGTGATTTCTCGAACACAAGGCAAAACAGGAGCAATTTGTAATGGTGTTTTACCAGCATGGACTTCATAAAATGGATATGAACACCAAGCAGTATATTGTAGTTTACATGGATGTCAGTTTTCAGATATTGTTGACAGACAGATGGACAAAGATAAGAAAGATTTTATTTATACAAGGTCTGATCCAGGGTTTTCATTAACGCTGTTTTGACGCATAGAGGCAAAAATTTAATCCTGGGAAGGAAACAAATTCTGATTTTGCATTCACTTGGACGCAGAAAAAAGCAGTTTTCCTACAAGTCATTAATCTCAAACTACAAAATCTCACAAAAAGATAATTTCTTACCTGAGCATATTATTTCCTTTGCAAAGTAGACCCAGAGATCATAAGCTGTCATGGAATGAACTTCTGCTAGTTTTAACTTCGTTGTAAATGTATGACATGCAACCTTTCCTGTACTGTCCGTGACTAGTTGAAATGTCTTCCTGCCAAACCCCTGCTCTTTCAACTTCTCAGCAGTGAAAGTTTGTAACAATTTTGCATTTAAGATTATTTTTCGTTTTGCAATTGAGATGTCATTGGGTTGGTCTTCATCTGCTTGAAAATGGCCTTCGTCATCAGAGCATATGATATAAATTGGTAGTACAAACTTGTTGAACTTAATCTGCTTGTAAGTTAAATCCAACGTCAGTGTGGAATCTGCATATTCCAAAAGCACATGATTTAATCCAGGACGCAGCTCCACAAATGCTTTGAACAGACCTTCAACAATTGGCCATGTTATTTTCCGTTTATTTTCAACTGTATACACGCACACAACAGCAGCTCGACAGGGCTGTTTGACATCACCTTTGATGAGAGCTAATGAGTATGTCAAAACGTCCCCATGCTCTAAATTCGTAACCTTTATATCCATGATGACATAGCATCATGGCTCAAATAATGCCCAGTAGTTGGTGAAGTATATGTTCAGGCATTTCATCAGAGATGTAAAGAACAGTATTGCACATACATGTATTTGTAATGTCTTAAGAATTACTGTAGAAATAAAGATGTAATTTAGCTAAGTATGAGTCACATTCTGTACTCAAATCATGGATCGATCTTATTCTATGGTAAATCTGAAAATAGAAAACGAGAATACATGTAGTCCAATTCATTCAGTTAAATCTACAATCTAAAAACGTATATTGCAATGAAAATTTATCAAACTCCATGCTAGTCTTCAACATATCACTGCGGTGGGAATATTGAATATCCTAAGCATGGCAACTTCGTAATAAACAATTGACGTGATTGGTTCTTGTCTCATGCTGGTGTCGCGTGATTGTAAAATCTATCTGTAAATTCAAAAAGTTGGGAAGTTGCACACCCTTCTCTTGAAAGCTCATGATCTAGACAAGATAATTGGTTAGATTGCGCGTATTAACACACATGGTAATTTCTTCATCTGCCCGCCGCAGTGTCTATTCTGAGTCACTCACACTCACCGTCACACTGTGACACTCCTTCTGAGTTTGTCAAATTATAAATCTAGGTCCCCTAATCTAAACTAAGCTGTTTGTTCTGTAAAATGCAAAATCTTTACTGACCTTGGTATTAATTATTAAGTTCAAACTTAGATATAATAATGTTTACACTCACCTCAAATAGATGGAAAAACAGCTGTTGTATTAATTTTTGAAAATTTATGTTTGTATTTTCTCGGTGGGAACATCTACGTAAGTTAGAGGCGCTATAGCGAGATGTTACAACAAATTAGCGAACGTATTTTACAATTACACTAATCTAGCGAACGTATAAAGATATACAAACGCGTGTGGACGCGTGAGGAAGACATGACAAAACAAGAAAAGAGGAATTCAATTACCCAAATGCGAGTAAGTGGTTACCAGTTTCATCACCAGGTGGCTGATTCGGGTCAATTAACATGGCAGGTATATAAGAAAGTTCCCTTAAACTTGAATATTATCAATTTAAGTGGCTCAATTTTCATATAACCCTTATGTGTCTGATTTACTCGAGTCTCTAGCTTACAGCTAGACGAAACTTCATTGATTTCGTATGTACTGTGCTACACGCACCTACACGCACCTAGAACTCATTTTTAATAAATTTTATAAATATTTTTAAGAATATTAATCATATTTAGGATGAAGCGTTGCTTGTCTGGATTTAGATATTTCAAAATTTCATTTCGGAGTTTTGACACATGGTGAAATTTTCTTGCTGTAGCTAAAAATGGCTTCCGGTTCTGGACGTGAATAACATTTGAAATTATTCTCGCTTAAAAAAATCAAATATAACAATAGATTCAGACGGGGATGTGAGCTGATGTTCTTCAAATCTATACATAAAGGTATATTTCATATTATTATGCCATATTTACTGTGCGTGTGACACAATGATTTACAATATTTATAATACTAAGGCAGCTCAATCTTCCTCCTCAAAGCCGGAATATAGAGAAGGCTTTGGACCGAAGTAATGTCTGATACTTATACTAATGAAAATATGTCCAGCAAAGCAAAATATTATCTGTCCACTAAAAGAAAAGATATTTCATTTTTTGTGATTTTATAGCATAGGGTCTATGGGGAATCTCCCCGAGCTAGAAGTCACATTTTCAAAGAAAATAATTTTTCAAAGTTGATTAACACTTTTTAAAACCACATTTCTAGATGTAATTTTACACGTAGATTTCAAATATGATATTACTTTGACCAGGGGTGAGTTTTCTTCTGTGTTTAACGTCGCAAACTAGAGCGATTTGGACAATGAGCTTTCGCCCACGATAGTGCCCACCAAGATGTGGCGTGATAACCTCGCGCGTATCAAGATTGATCCATTGGATTCTCGAAAAAAATTGTACTACCCTTGAGAAAATTACTTCTTATTTCATTATTATTGGGAGATATATAGAATGTTATATACGAGCATGGAGCTATTGAAATTGGGTTTCTAAATCATTAACATTCGTAATATAGTATTCAACTATTACACAAATATCATTGTTTAAAGACGAGAAATCAAATTCGCCGACATGTTTGTTTACATTGACAACACTTACTTTAACGATAAATTAGACCCCTTTAACATGAAAAAATAATTTCAATCTTTTTTGATTCAGAAAGCCCACATCATAAGCTTATTTTTTCGCTAAATAATAATAGTATTCGTCTCCTAGTTTTCTTCATCCAGCCAATAACAAAATTATTTTTCGATTTTCCGGCATTTTGTATTGGTCTTTGACGGAGAATTAGAAGTACCTTCTTTAGGTTGAATCGGCCAAAACATACTGTAATACATTGGAAACAATCACAATCGCGATAACATGAATGAAATTCATCATAATATTCAAGGTACACGACGAAAAATATCAATTGCGTACATTATCGGACAGACTTTTCGTTTGCCGTCAGGTTCGTTTTTCACAATAGGGTTGTCCATTGGATGCGTTTTCGTCTAGTGTGTATATGACGTTTTTACCGGGATAAACAAGGAGTATGAACTAGATGGATCCATTGGTCTCTCCAGTCTTTTGAATGAAAAGTGAAACATCAAAGGATGTAACTTATTACTATTCTGGATGAGTATATGCTGATTTTTTCTATATTTAACTGATCCGCCCTTTATTCTCAGGTTATCCAATATCCATCTACACTCCACTCCAAGTTTTGCAAACTTCCCTATTAGATTACTCTATGGTTGATTTTTAACATAACATGCAATGAACACTTTAAATAAGCAATGCGAACACTTTAAATAAGGGTGCCATTGTTTACTAGCTAAGTCTTCAGTTCAATTTGTGGATATTATCATACCTCATATGTTATCTTAAGGGATATGTTTCTTGAAAAAGCATAGTTTTGACTTTGGAGACATATAACTTTATAAAACCTGAAAAATTATATCAATTTTTTAAAAAAAATAAAGTTTGTTAAAACATTTTTGGTTTACATCTGGATGACAATTTTTAAAAATGAATTTAATTTGCCATCAATTTGCAATCTTTTGTATATAAAATGAGAAAAAATGAAGTTATACTAGGAAATTATATCAGTTTAGATTTCCAGCCCAAGCAGTTGTTCAAATTAAAGCCAAACTTTTGAAGGGGAGTGTAAGTCTTGGCAGCACTTTGGTTTTGATTATCATCTGATTTTACAAGCTGATTTTACTATCTTGTCAGTTGTCATTGTCACTATATCTCTGTTATAATGATGTAAGTGTAAAAACAATCATTTTACAAGTTTTTAAGGTTAAAGTTCGACTTCTTTATTTTTCTTTATTTTGATTATTCCTCACATAGGTAAAGGTAGAATCAGATCAAGCAACAAACAATCTTTACTTATATTGTTTCAATTCTAGAATATATTTGGGTTGCATATGTATCTCACACTTTATTCAAGGAAAACTAAGATTATTACATACAGAGTGAGCCAAAAAAAGGTAACCCAAACAAATGTATGTAAATAACTCAGTCATTCAGCATGGGCTCAAAATCATATTTGGCACAACTAAACCTTAATCAATGTCATTGGTCTGTCCCTTAGAGTCACGATTTTATGGTCATCTACAAAACATGGTCCAAATGCCGAAATGACTGACTGGACATAAATCCCACCAGCTTTTTATCTTTGGGTCTATTTTTTCTACACTAACAACCCTTGAAACATTGAAACAAGAGATAAGAAGGAAGATGAGAGCCATAACACAAAATGTTTATGCTTGTGTTGTGAACAAGACTACGCCCAATATGTTCAAGTTGGCCTCCAGACTTGACGCCCATATTTTATGGCATGTTTTGTAAAATGGCCATAAAATCATGACCACTAGAGATACAACCAGAACAACGGCAACGCTAAAGCGTAGCGAATACCATCGAACACCCATGAATGGCATTTTTACAAACAAAGTATATAGCAAAAATGCCAGCCATTTTTCAAAATGGCCACCTTCTACCAAAAGTGTCATTAGACCATGTGCCATACTTATAGTATTCACATACCAAATATGAACAAAATCACTCCACTACTTTTCAAGTTATAGTAATACTTTAAAATGGTGGCCATTTTTCAAAATGGCCACCTTCTACCAAAAGTGCCATTAGACAGTGTGCCGTGCTTATATTTAATTTAATTATTTATTTACCTGTATTTAAACAGAGTGGTTTTACAAACATATTTACATTTGGTAACATCACACAATTAAATAAAAAGCTTCCATTTTAAATGGATGAATACTGTTTATGTTTTATAGGACATTGGTTCTTTCAAGAGTGTCTTTATAATGTAATAATCAACTGTCCAACGTATTCTTTCAGAATGTTTGATATAGTATTCACATACCAAATATGAACAAAATCGCTCCACTACTTTTCGAGTTATAGTAAAATACGTTAAAATGGCGGCCATTTTGAAAAATGACCGCCTTCTACCAAAAGTGTCATAGGACAGTGTGCCATGCTTATAGTATTCACATACAAAATATGATCAAAATCGCTTTACTACTTTTCGAGTAATAGTAAAATACATTAAAATGGTGGCCATTTTTCAAAATGGCCACCATCTACCAAAAGTGTCATAGGACAGTGTGTCATGCTTATAGTATTCACATACCAAATATGAACAAAATGGCTCCACTACTTTTTGAGTTATAGTAAAATATGTTTAAATGGTGGCCATTTTTTAAAATTTTACATATTGCACCTAAATTACTGTAAATTCGGCACTTAAATGGCCGCCATTTTGAAAATCAGCTTTCAAGCAGACATTCTACTCCCATAGGGTATATGTGTACAAAATATGAACAAAATCGGGCCAACGGTATTTGAGTTATTGCCCGGACGGACTGACGTATGTACGTACGGACGGACAGACGGAAGGAGGCGCTCCCTATATCCCTCCGAACTTTGTTCGATGGGATAACCACTGAAAACTTGGTATACTAATACATTGGACAAGGCTTGTTGTGCAAAATATGACACTAAACCCATGCAAGGTGACTGAGTTATTGAGATTTGTTTTGGTTACCTTTTTTGGCTCACCCTGTATTAGAGCTCTTTTTTCCGTTCTACGTCTCTTCTTTGTCACTTTGATGTTTA